AGGCGTCAGATTATTTTGGTCCAAATAAAATGCCAATTGGCGCAAAAGCAAAGCACCGATTTATAACGAGTGTGATCCAATATCGTGTTTCAGTCCAAAATTTAGTGTACACGTTTGTTCACCATAGTCTGTTCCTTCAAATTGAAAAAAAGATGAAGATAAAAATAAAATACATTAATAGAGGTACTGATTTAATTAATTTTCCAGTGTTTTTCATGACTCTACGGTTCAAAACTTTATACCTCCATATTTTGATAACATAGAGCCACCTACAATTTCTTATTCATATAAAAAAAAACAGTGTAAGTTTAATTTTAATTATATGTCAGTTGCATCAGACGTCAGTATAGAAAATAATGCTCCTTCGACATGAGACTGTGAAACATCGACGTTTAGATATGATCCATATGGCCATGTAATTACAGGGGACCTCAAACTTAGAATATTCATTTTAGTCACAGTGAGCATGAACAGTGACATATGAACTCTCATATTCAATACTGTAGCTAGGCGCCTTACAGAAGTTACATCCCTTGAAAGACTATTTTAACACATTTTCTGTTTTGTTATTGAAACTACAGTAGATTTCTCCTAATAAATTGACATGGTCAAAATTAGCATTCAACTTTATACAGGACATGCCCAGGAACAATCGTATATATTCTTGTTGCGTTATATCAATTTTATGCAAGAATGCAAGGTGAGCAGATCCTCAGAGTCACTGGTTATGGGTCAGTGTCATAACTAGGTCCGTAGGTGCAATGAATAAAAGGTCAACTATATATGTTGGTCACCATGCCTTAAATAAAATATAATGCAAGCAATTGCTAATATTTTGAAATGTATATACAAGAAAGTGAAAATTACCAGCAATACAAAATCTTCGAAAATGCCATCATGACTGAAATCATGAATTTACGTACTCCTGAGTGTACTGTCCTTACCAGTATATGACATTTTTTCTTTTAAATGTAAAATGAAGAGATATTGTATTTTTTTCTTTTAAATGTAAAATGAAGAGTCACGCTATTCGAAATTCATAAATCGATTGAGAAAAAAAAACCAAATCCGGATTACAAACTAAAACTGAGGGAAACACATCAAATATAAGAGGAAAACAACGACACAACAGAAACTCAACAATAAAATGCAACACACACAGAAACGAACTATAATATAACAATGGTCATTGCAAAAGTACAAGGACTGTCATAGAGAGAAATGTAGTGTACAGGTTGGGAACAATCCCCCAAATTGGTTATAGCATACTTTTTGGGATATGAGTTACTTGGCAAAATTCACTGTGCAAAATTTTTCTATTTAAGGGAAAATATCAGTGGCGGATCCAGAACTTTTCATTAAGGGGGGGGGGGGGGGGGGGGGGGGCGGCCGCTCCAGTCATGCTTCAATGATTCCCTCTATAATCAACCAAATTTTTCCCACAAAAGGGGGGGGGGGCGGGCCCCCAGGCCCCCACTGGATCCGCCTATGAATATTTCAAAGTGCAAATGATTACATAATAGGCAACTTTTTGGTTAGCGACTTTTCTGAATACTCAGTGGCGGATCTAGAAATTTTCATAAGTGGGGGCCCACTGACTGCCTAAGAGGGGGCCCGCTCCAGACATGCTTCAGTGATTCCCTATATAATCATCCAAATTTTTCCCAAAAAAGGGGGGCCCGGGCCCCCTGCCCCCCCCCCCCCCCCACCCCTAAATCAAATCCGCCTCTGATACTTGGTTGTTTGAGTTTGATCCCTTGGTAATGCTGTTTTTCAGAGGGATCAACTGACTAGCAGCCTCTTAATTTTCAGGAAAATTCGCCACCAAAAGTTGCTTCTATTGACCTATAGAAATGCACTTTTAAATCTTTTGCTAAATTAAAAAATTAAAATTTTTAGCACAGTAAATTAATACATTCGGGCTATTACAACCTGCTTAATATATGTAAATCATGTACAATTATATATGTACATTATAGGCACAGTAGTGTCTCTGAAAAAAAAATCCTATATACCTTTTAAATGTGTTATATTAAGGTATATGGGATTTTTTTTCAGAGACAAGTGCCTGTGATGTACATATGCGGAAAATATAAAATAAATTTATTCAAGATTTTGTATCGATTTTTTTTATATTTCCGACAATGTACATTAATTGTTTTTATCCTGCAATGTACTCCCGGCGCTTTATGGTTTAGTTGTTTAATTCCAAATAGTTGTCTCTAATTTTTCAACATTTTTCATAGAAATCTACATAGTTTAAACGCGGATCGCGAAGTGCATGGACCCTAAAATTGAATTCTAAATTTGTTCACTTCAAGTCGTACAAAAATGGTTCATGTTCCAACTTTGTACAGATATTAATATGTTGTGAACATCAATAAGTCAAGATTTACCGACACATTTTGACACAGTTATTTAGTTACCATGCCGGGGTGTTTGCATAAATGTGAAACTAAATCACAATATGGTACTAATCTTAAAGAAGATCCATTAAATGCAGCTTTAACATGTTGAATAAGGTACCTACTTTGTTAAAGTTCTCTGATTAGTGATCTCTGATTAGTGATCATTAGTCCGGGTCATTAGTATTATCTTGTTGATTTGAATGTTCTCCTCGCTATTAAGTGGACGACCATTTGATATTCGGGAGAGAGGGGTCGATTTTTTTCATAGGATTATTCATTTTCATCTGTTGCTAGGCATGCTTATTTTTTCGTTGGCTTTGCGCGAATTTATTTCACTCTTGTACACAGTTGTTTCCTGTTTCCTGTATTTTAATTTTATTGTGTGTTGCAGAATATTCTTTTTCAACCTGTACTCATAGACGGATTTAGGGGGGGGGGGGGGGGGGGGGGGGGGGGGGGGGGGGGGGGGGGTCAGGGTGCCAGCCCTCCCTTTGTTTATGGGAAAAATTTGAATGATTATTTAGGGATTCACTGAAGCATGACTAAGCGGGCCCTTCTTATGGCAGTCAATGGGCCCCCCTTATGAAAATTTCTGGATCCGCCACTGGTACTTAACCATGTTAACTATGCAAGGTTATTAATTCTCAGCTCTTTCCAAGCAAGGATATTTAAAATGGTTTTCCCCTTAGAATATCATGTACTTATCACCAAGGATTTGTATACAAATCCTTGTTATCACGCACAAAATAATCAAATTGTTTTCGCTTATAAATACATATTTTGCCAGGTCCTACAAAGATCAAAATTAAATATGCGGAACTGATCACCGTACTCGGGACAAAATTGTTATCGCCCTCGCAACGTCACAATCTCCCGCCATCTTTCAACATCATTCGCATCAGCACAGCAGCACAAAGACTGAAAAATGTAGCAGCTATTACAAGACGTTGTGAGCAGTATGCAGAAATAAACAAATAAAAGTATGACGGAACATGGGGGTACTATACAGTCTTTGATCACCAGACACCAAGTTGTCTACAATTAATCTTTGTACTAGAAAGTAAAGCATGGCCATAATAAAATGAAACATTTATTGGTTTCCACTAGTTACGCAAGAACATTTTAATGGGTCGGCAGGCAGGAAAAACGATTTATTTTATTGTATTTATTTTGCGAAAAAATCAAACGAGGCACATGCAGTTTCCACTCTACAGAGATTTTTTTGAAACCACTATCTTCTAATCATCTTATCTGTGTCTTTACAACAAATTATGTAGTCTCTAATGTGCTTTTGTTGTCTGGTATGTGTTGTCATCTCCCTTGTATTCAATCTTTTGTTTATAGGTGGTGCTTTAAATTAATTGTAATAAAAAGGATTTTAAGAAGAAAAAAAATAATAGATCAATTTCAAGTTATGTCCTTCACCAGAAAAGTTCATCAATTGTGCATGCCTTTATGACATCATTTACAAGATAGAGGGGACTGGCTGTATCCCTTCACTATTAAAGTTAATCAAGCCTCATCCTGATTGTCATTATGCAGGATAAACTAGAAATAATATTTGTTCAGTAGGTACTTAATCACAATTCCATAATGACAGTGCCTGATTATCAATTTTAAGAATTTAAGCTGAACAATTCGTGCAATATAGTATCATATTTTTTCAACTACTCCCCCAACATGGGAAGGAAGTGACGATGCCCTGAAACGCACGAATGATGTTCACTAAAACCAAAGTTTTTGACGGAAATGCAACGAACTCGAAATAGGTCTGACAGGCCTAGGGCCTTCTTTTACTTTAGAGGTCCCTTTACTTCACGTAATGGTTCATTTATGGTTAGGTTAGGGATGTTCTAGGTTAGGTTTAGGGCTAGTGTATGGGTAAGTTAGGGTTGAGGATAGTTTGAGTATACATGTAGCTCTATATGACATTTTATCTTCATTTATCTTTTTAACTGGTAGTGCACACAAGCACAACAATCCTATGATTTAATTTGTCATGAGTAATTTATTTCTAAAGAAAAAAGCACAAGAACCTGAAGAAGAAATACATTGGGTGGTTTTATAATTATGTACTTGAAATTATGCCTACCCAGCTTACAATACAGTAGTGTCCGGTAATTCCGTCCGTCCAATAAACCCGCCCATTCCCATTTACTTCCATAATAGCCACTTCCGTGAATATTTTGTCTGCTATTTTATTCATAGGAACTGTACTTATCATTACTGCATATCAAATGTTAAAGAAAATTCCTTTATTATGAAAATATCTAGTGATATATATAATACAGTTCCTAAAGCTAACGATAATCCATTATTACTTGCAAAACTCGTTGCTGCCTTGAAATTTTTATTTTTTTTTATTAATAGATCACCTTTTCCTTTCATAAATATATGATCAACTGGCCCTCCATTCATATTTACTGCCCATGGGCGGATTTACCGGAAAAACACATTTCCGATAAAAACACAGATGACCCACTTGTTTTGTTGATTTTAAAATTTATTTCAGATATTTTTTGGGAAATGAAATAAACTACTCAAAATTGATTTGTCAGTGAATTGATTTATGTTAAATTTGATACAATTTATATATGGGTAAAGCCAAAAAGGTGCTCCAAATTGGTCAAATAACCATTTGAAGCTTAAATCCCAATTTTAAAATATTTAATATATGTTATTTGATTACAACTTGTTATTGTGCATCAGTGACATGATGAAGCAGAAGATTTGATAAATATCAAATATCCGCTAATTCAATGTGTCTTGTTATTGAAGTTTGTCAAACGTAGATCTGTACGTTCCTGTGTCCCAAGCGTGACATGGAAACCCCCTTCTAACAAAAAATATACCTGGTTGTTTTTATGGGCAAAAGAAAAACGGAAAGTAAGTTAAATCGTCAGAAAAGTGTTGTTGCACTATAAATCCGTCAAAGTTTTGCGTGAAATGCAGTAAAATTAATCAAAGAAACGATTATTTCGACAGGGTTAGTAATGTTATATTGACAATAGACTACTATGGTAAAAATAACGCACGGGGTTTTCCGCGATATCGTCATCTGCGGAACATTTGATTGGTTCCTGTCATATTCATGCGCCGTCGTATCTCGGCTGTTTCAAATAGTTCTAATTTTGGTTTCGTATTCCGTTTTATGAGAAGCATAGAATGGCAAGTTTGTAATGTCAAAATAACGTATAACGTACGTAAATGTTTATTCCTTATTATTAACGGGAAGAGTTTATCCAGGGAGAAATAAAATACTTTGTTTCATTTCAAAATTGCTATATATACGAAACTAAATGTAAGCATCACTATCATTCATGGATGAAAATGGAAGAAGAACTCGATGGTAAGTTTTTAGCAAAATGTCAAACTAATAACGACCAGGGCGTCAAACAAAGTATAACGACCAAACCATTCTGTCAAATTGACACTGTTTTATATAATTTTTGCCAAAATAATATGCTTAGAATGATAAGAACTAACGAATATAACGCATTCAAGCACCCAAGTCAAACCATTCGTTCACTTTTTACGGTAACATCGATATGACCGTTACTTGACCAATTTTGTCAACCCAGTCAATATAACACCTAGGATGTAGATGATCTTTGTAGAGATATACTGCACCATTCTTTTCATTTAACTTCTATTTCAACTTACAGATAATAAAGGGGGAAAGTTAATATACATTTAAAAAGGGTGAAGTAATTTTCAGTGCTTTTTCACAGGGTGTTAGTTGACAATTATATGCATAGTCAATATAACCAGGGTCATTAAGAGAGTTAGTTGACACCTTAATGTAAGGGTCAATATAACTCCTACTCCCTCAGTAGTCCTAAAGCTACTATTACTACTGAAATATGTTGACTTTGGCTTTTAGCCTACAAATCTCTTGTACAATAAAAAAATTAAGCCTTTTAATGAAATTGTAAGCATATTTCCTGCTTCTTTGAAATAGAGCATAAGTTGACAACTAAAGGATTCAAGTCAATATAACCATGGTCCAAAAGAGAGTTAATTGACACATTAATTTTATAGATGTAAAAACAGCCTTTTATCAAAAGAACATCAACAATAAACAAGAAAACAGAAAATTGTCACAAGACTATAACATGCAAGTTTCTGTCTTGAGACGGCGCAACAAGTTTGTTTTTAAGCACTCAACCTCCCCATACCCTTGAATTTGACAATAAAAACATGAATGTAGACACAATGCAAATCAATGTGAAGTGGTACTTATTTCCAATGCTTTTTTCAACATGGATAACATACAACATCATAAACATAAGAAGATGTGGTATTATTGCCAAAGAAACAACTCTCCACCTAAAAAAAACAATAATAGCCTATAAGGTCACGGTATGGCCTTCAACATGGAGCCTTGACTCACATTTTCATTCATTTCAATTTAAAATCATGTATAAAACTATTTTAACTTTATTTATTTGCTTTTCAGATCTTTGAGATAAATCAACTGAGTATGAACAGTGGAATAGACAGCAGAATGAACTTTAAAATGTTTTTAATTTGTTCAAATAAATGATTTAAGGTTTGATTCTTGAATAGTGGTTTAATTATTAGTATTCTCATACATTAATCATGTTGATGTGTTTTATACTTTACTTTCAAAAGTGTTGATTTAATAAGCTCTTGAAAAAAAATTGTTGAAAACAGTTGATCAATAAAGTCACCATCTGACATAGCCAAGAGTATCATAACTGTACATATTAAATGAGCAACCTTTGACCAAAGTACAAAGTCAGTTTAAGTGAGCCTAATTAACAATACTCCTAAATACCAACAGTAAACAATACATTCCCCTGAATACTGTGAGTAACTCATTAAGTGTCTGTTTACCATCAGGCTATTAAGCTAACTCTTGCAGTGCACCGGATGGTTTTATTGGGTTAAAAGTATGTCGGTTAAAAGCTCATTAGAGCTCATGTTGTCTCTGTTTGTATACCTTGCCGACTCTAAAATAAAGCTTATTTATTGGGTTTGAGTTGTTATTTAAGGTTTGTTCTTTTCTTGTTATTTATCTTGATTTCTCCTCTCCCTTTTGGATTTGTGAATTAGTGCACCTTTATTTTTCTTGCATTCTATAGTTGTCACTCTGATCTGATAGATCTCAGATAGTTTTGGTTATGAGCTTGTGACTTCATTATTAGCTGAACAATAATGAACATGAACCCCTGCATGCATTCAAGAATTAAGTTTATATCAAAATAAACATAATGGATCAAACTCTTTGTGTTCAGATGTTACACCAGATTTCCTGTATTATTTCAGTAAGTTACTTGACATTGTGTCAATATAACAACCAAAAGACGGTAGTGTTGTGAGCAATATAAGCATTCAATCATAATTTGGTAAAATGAAAAATAACCATCAGTTACCTAGACAATAGTAGAAAAAAAATCTTTAATAAAAATGATTTTGAAAAAGGTTAAATTTAAACACTATTCGTCAATATAACCTACATGTAAGATATGGTATACAAGATTTATAGTCATCTTCTTCATTTAGAAGATTAAGCTGTATTGGATAAGTTTTCCCCTACTTAAAAAATCAGCTAGTGTTGCCCCCCTGTTTTTTGAGTGGCCTGTTTTAAAATTAAGGCAGAAAAACTATCAAAAAGGGTTATTGTCAAAATAACATACATTGGATTTGGATTTAATTATGTCAACGAAGATCTGGGTTTACAACAACTACATAAAATATTTCATTTGAAATATAATAATTATGTTTACAAATATAATTGCTGTTCAAAAAACGTTTTACACAAGTTACTAGAAGAAAACTTTATTTTGGACATCTATAACATACTGATCTTGCTCAGAGCACTGACATTTCAGAACATCAGGGATATCTCTGTGAATTGGTCTATGATATAATGATGTTGAAAGATATTATGTGCAGCTAAGTATTGATACATTTCATTAATCCCATAAGAAACTATTTAAAACAAAAGATTGCACTATTGTCAATATAACTTACACAAAATATAAAAGGAAGGTCAATTTTACAAAAACATAGCAAGACCATGGATTTCAAATAAAAAGAGGTAGTAAGATACAGATGGTTGCTAACAAAATAATGTGAATTGATAGAGATATCAAAAACTTCAATTTTATATCCTAATGTCACACTTTCCAGACCACCTTTATGGCTTTACCCATATAGTTAAGCAGAAATACATACGGTCAAAGCCTTATGTGGGCGGATTTACCGGACTGCATCATAGTATTTTTTCATGTTATATACGAAAAGAAATGCAAAAAATCCTTTCTAGAACTATAGAAGCAGGTACATGTAATTAGGTGAAGAGAAAACATGCCACAATAGAGACAATTTCTACCTGACCAAAAAGTACTTTAATGTAATGAATTGTCAGACGAGGGAGTATTGCCTCCCCCCCCCCCCTGACTCACAGTGACGTATAAAGTTAATTTAGTGTGTACAAACCAATTATTATTCTATCCATCTTTTATTTGTAGTTTGGTAAAGGATTTATATATGCTGACCCTTTATCCAATATAAATGATTTAAACAATGATATTATTGAATTGAATTAAAAGTACATTTGCGTTTTGCTAGAAAAAATTATTTGTAGTCTTAGACCTAATTGAAACATCTCTATCATAAATGATCACTGATTCAGTCTTGTCTGCTGTTCAGTCTTACAGGTGTACTTTAAATTCTCTTTAAACCTCATAAAGAAATTTGAAATAAAATATTAGATTAGGTAAGGGTATTGCTGTACTGCGTAAAAACTGTATTGAGATCAAACATTAATCCTGTAATCCTGTTAATCCATGATATTTAATTTTAAAGGCTAAGAATGAAAATGTTTTTGTTAAAATAATGACAGCTCTAATATGGAAAAGGATATTTAATGGCCAATATGGATCCAATTTCATATTTATTCCCCAACCCTAGTCAAGTAATTATAAGATGATACTGACTGGTCCAGTAAAATGTTACAACCCATTAGCCCATTTGATGTTTTAGTTCTATATATATCTGAACTACATGTAAATTTGTTTTTAATTTTGAGTTCTTGCAATAAAGTGGTCACGAAACCACATTCAGCATGTTCAGTTTCATTGTGAAGTTGATGATATACATACTTTCGAACTAAAAAGGCGACACTAGCCTTATATGGTTAAAAATAATGGCTCAAGTTGGAATTACTGTAAATGCGTAATTACTTTTACTTGGCCTTTTTCAATGCATATCCAATTCATTGCTTGTTCTGTCTGCAATGTTTAAAAGTTTTAACTTGAAATAGGTCACGATATATTAACATGTACACATATTTCTGTCAACAGATTGGATGCTGGTCTATTTTCGGAGCTACAGATGTTTTTGCTAAACATGGCTTAGTATTGATTCTGTGAAGGCTGGAGTGAGTATTATAAAAGTGTTGATTTAGTCTGTATAATGATTTAAGAAGGTCTTTAAAAATGTTAAAGAAATGTCGGTTCTATTTTTTCAATTTAAAAAGATAAACTTTCCACAGGATATTATACAATAACATTTTACTTTAAAAAAATGGATTTAATTTAAATTTATAAATGTTTGTTTCTGCATGTCTTCAGTGTGTACATGGTGTATTGCATGTTCATTCTCCGTTGAAAAAAATATTTTTTTACTTTTTCACTTGGACATGTTAGATAAAACAGGCCTTGCTAATGTCAAAATATATTTTGTTCCTCCTAATAGAAGTATCATGAAATATAAGTTCCTTCATAATATAAGTTCCAAATGGAAGAAATATTCTGTATCATATTATTTCTACTGAAACAAATATTACAGAATTTGTTCCTTACCGAATAAAGGGTATACAATAAGAACAGATATTATGGCATTGTTTATAACAAAGATTCCAGGAGAACTTCTGTTAGGCGGAACAAATCTACGTTGACACTAGTTCCTCTGAAACTTTGTTATAAATGCAATGCTATAATATATCTGTTGGAACAAATAGTCTATATATAAAAAAATAATTAGATTTGGTTTGATTGCCAATGAGACAACTATGCACCAGAGTTCAAATGATATGGATATAAGCAATTCCAGCTATATATAGGTCAATGTACGGCCTTCAACAATGAGAAAAACGCATACTGTATAGTCAATTGAAAAAGACCCTAACATTAATAATGTGAAACAATTCAAAAGAGAAAACTAACGACCTAATATATAAAAATACAATTTATGAAAAGCAAATATGACAGATATGAACCAACGACAACCACTGAATTACAGGCTCCTGACTTTTGAAAGGCACATGCACATACTTAGCAAGCTACAAGGATTAAGATAAAATATGAAAAAAATATTTCTGATCAGTTCTACAACAAATCTTCCTCCAAAAAAATTGGAGATTTGAAAAGATAATACCTACATGTACATATTTTCAAAGTAAAATGTTTGCCACTGAACTATAAGAACCAACAATCAATCAAAGTAGAATTCTGTTTTGATTTTGTAGATAGTACCATGAAGGTTGTCAATAGCTCCATTAAGGAAGAAAGAATGGATCTTGAAGTGGGTAAATGGGATAAGTTGAAAAGCTGGAATAAAGTGCAGGAAGACATTGGCGAAATGCTGAAAAATGTGGAAAAATTTGATGACAGCATGACACTGTACTATGGGCCTCAGGTTTGTATTGGTTAATTCAGTAGTGATGCCGTCAGTTATCCCCTTGTTCAGACCTCTCTCAAATGAATTTGTTCATTCTTCACGATCAACCACAGGCTCACCAGTCCTGTTTATAAAAATGGATGTCGGGCCTGTAAAAATCATCTATACAGGCCAAATTCAGTTTCAGGCAACATACAAGACTAACAAAGGCCAGAGGCTCCTGACTTGGGACAGGCGGAAAATGCAGCGGGGTTAAACATGTTTTTTTTAGATCTCAACCCTCCCCCTATACCTCTAGTCAATGTAGAAAAAAGAAATACATAGCAATATGCACAGTAAAACTCAGTTTGAAAGAAGTCCGAGTCCGATGTCAGAATAGGTAACAAAAGAAACTAAGCAAAATGACAATGATACATAAATGAACAAAGGACTACTAGCAGTTACTGACATGCCAGCTCCAAACCTCAATTAAACTGATCGAAAGATTATGTCTTCATCATATGAAAATCAAGTACAATCCCTCCCGTTAGGGGTTTAGTATCATACCATCATAAAATATATGAGAAGAACATAACCCGTATCATGCCAAAAACTGGTTTTAGAATAGATGTGTTTATTTCCGATTCAAAGACCCTATGAGTGAATCAATATTAATACCAAAATATGCAATCCTTAATGACTTGACAACAGTATCATAACTATATCCTTTCCGAATAAGTCTGTTTGAAGGTTTGGTTAGCTTTTAAGGTGAATGCCGACTTTTTTGTGCTTTGTAAAGAATATTACCATAAAATATTGGATGTGAAATACCTGAACGTATAAGATGTCTGCATGTTCATTTATATTTATGAATGATGTCCTTGTACCGATGATAAAATTTAGTAAATGTTTTGACTAGTTTGTGATATCGAAAACCCTGGTGTAATAATTTCTCAGTAATACAGAGATTTCTTTCTTTGAAATCAAATATGTTGTTACATACACGAGCGAATCAAACAAGTTGAGATATATAAACAACATAAGATGGCGACAAGGGAACGTCACCATCTAAAAATGGATAATTGACAATAGGAAATGAAAAATCGTCTCTTTTATCATAAATTTTGGTATTAAGTTTCCCGCTAAAGATAAAGATACCAAGATCCAGGAAAGGGCAGTGTTCATTGTTAGTATTTGCTTTATTTAATGTCAGTTTGGCAGGATAAATCTCTTTAGTGTACATACTGAAGTCGTCATTATTGAGAGCCAATATATCATCTAAATATCTAAAAGTGTTATTAAATTTTTGAATCAGATGTAGTTTCGATCGGTCTTTGCTGATTTTAGTCATAAATTGTAACTCATAACAATACAGAAACAGGTCCGCAATAAGTGGTGCACAGTTAGTCCCCCTGGGAAATCCGATAACCTGACGATATACGGAATCTCCATAGCGAACAAAAATGTTATCTAGTAAAAATTCAAGGGCAGTTAAAGTATCAAAGCAGGTCCAATTGACATAGTTCTTTTGTTTGTTTTTACTAAAAAATGACCTAAAAGAGTTTGAACATATATATTCGTATTCCGACTTTTTAAATGCCCATTTAATCAATTTTATGATTTGGGGTTCTACAGCAGGCTTCTAATGGGAGGCTCCAGGTGTTTCCCTCCAATAATTTTACCTAATGGTTTTCAAATTTTATGTTGTTAATGATAGCAAAAAGGGGTTTGAGTTTGATATTCACTTTTCTGTCCAGGAGTTATGGTCTTTCATCATGTTGATTAATGGTAAATGACAATTTATGTCTTTTCCTTGAAATAACTTGAGAACCTGTTTAATCAATGTTTTCCAAATATTTAAACATAATCATGACAAAATGGAGGTTGAATTCAATAATGAAGATATTCACTTTTGTCTTTCATGAGTAATGGTCTTTCATTAATTGAAATACAGCGGTTTTTATACGACCGCAAACAAATTTTGGGGTCTTATAATGCTATTACGTCGTCTTTGGCGTCGTCATCCGAAGACATTTGGTTTCTGGACAATAACTTTAGTTTATGTGTATGGATCTATGAAATTTAATCAAAAGGTTCGATACCACAAAAGGAAGGTTGGGAATGTTTTTGGGGGTGATGCTCCCAACCGCTTAGGAATTAGGGGCCCAAAAGGAGCCCAAAACAAGAATTTTCTAGTTTTAGGACAATAACTTGTGTTTAAGTATTTTTTTCAGGGGGGTCAATTTTTTTTCCTCAAGATTTAAGAAATTGTCAAGAAAAATTGGGGGTCACAATTTATTTTGCTAATTCTTTGTATATAGTCTGAAAACAGATTTACTAAGTATTGCGCAACAGCACAGTGTACTGCACAAAAACAAGAAATCTTTAGTTGAATATAAATTCAAATCATATAACCAATTTCAAGTTCTTTGACTACATTTATTCTGTGTCAGAAACCTATAATGTGTCAAATATTTAATTACAATCCAAATTCAGACCTGTATCAAGCTTGAATATTGTGTCCATTTTTGCCCAAACTGTTCAGGGTTGGACCTCTGCGGTTGTATCCATCTGCGCTAGGTGAAGCAGTTTACTGTTCATGCAATGATTTGAGAATGCTTGGTCTAAATCCTGTTAAATTTGAATATGTTGTTTCTAATGACAAAATGGTTTTCACAATTTTCTCCTTTGCTATATATATATATTCAGGAGTTATGGCCCGTAATTGCTTTTATAATGACACTAATTAAAGTCATATGAAACAAGCTTCTTGAAATTATGTTAAGGAAATTATTCAATCAATGCAGACATCTATACTAAAATATGTCCTCTATGTACATTTTTACATTTGTTATGTATTAAACAACAAATAATATTTCATTTAGTGATTGTTGATCCCAAGCTAAAGTAATTGACTTTCAAGTTTGATACTGAAGTTATCCCATATGAAAACTTGGTCACAATGTTTTTGTTGTTAGATTAGAAAAGAAATTGATTCAGAGTAATTCAGTTCCCAAATTAAAATAAATCATCTGCTGGCCTTTTCACCATAAATCTAAAGATTAATGTGGTACCAAACACCTTGATTAAAATTAATTTGGCTTGTTTAATTTTCAACACACACTTTATTGGAAAAATTCCATTGGATATATAGCAGTTTGACAAACACTTCTTTTGATCATTGTGAAGCTTAATATTTCCTTAACAATAGAACGTGATTAAAACATTCAGCTGATTTTTACAGAGTTATCTTCCTGTAGTGTTATGTACCACCTTAAAATTGATCACAAGTGAAAAAAGCTACTGGTTATATCATTACCTTCCATCTATTGCTTGTGTATTTTTTTTTAATAAAACCATGATTTTTTTATCTTCAGCTTTATCACACATTACGACATCCAGCTCACATCAAATGTATGACCCATTTTACATCCAACATTGGAGAGAATTTTGTGTCCCATTACAGACTTGGAACTCAGGATCAGCTTAGTGTTTGGACACTCAAATCAGTTGAACGTGTAGCCAAATGTGAAAACCAAAGGTTAGGTCGTTTGTTATTAACAGTATGTCAATGGGCAGATTTTTATGATTAAAAGGAAATGTGGGGTAGACCTCATTGACTCATTGACCCAACAACTCAACAGAACATCAAACAAATGGATTCTGAAATGACCAATTTATAAAAATGTTTTTAGTGCCATATCAATAAAACACCATTCATGCTTCATCAATTTAGGCTTGCAGGGACCCAGTAGCCCATACTACTAAATTTTAAGCAGGACCCTAAATTTTCTTAGTGGTTACGTTAATATTTCATACTGTAGCAGGTTGGGTCCCTACATGGTAAATATAAATCTTTTCCCAGTTTGTCCATGTTTGTCTTCTATATTTAACACAGTATTAATTGCCAATAACTTTATTTTTTTAAAATGCAAATTAATATTACCTGTTACATTAACATTTATAAATGATGTTCAATTTTTCTTTTGACAATGTTTGAACTGCAAAAATGTCCATTTGGGAAACAGCAATTTCCAACAAAAGCATTAAAATATCCTTAAGGAGCAAGAATTGATTTAATTACCCTATGAAAAATAAGCTAATATGAAGTTAGCCCATTGTTCACCTTTCAAAGTCCTAAAAATAATTTTATATAAAATATCATTTTAATGCCTTGTTCGAAATTGCTGTTTCCCAAATGGACATTTTTGCAGTTCCAACATTGTCAAATATTTTGATACCAGATAGACATATGCATTTGTTTTGTCAATATGGTAAAAAAAATCAAGCTTATGCAAATTATTGCAATGTTGATGATCTCTTTTATCCATTAATGACCTGTTATGAGGAAAGTGCTCCCACCAATATTTTTTATTACATATATTTTAGGTTTAACATCACTGGTGAAGTAAAGGCTTTCCTGTTTATACCTAAACACAGGGTAAGAAGGCTAAAATATAAAAAAATCATTGTTGATATAGGGTTTTAGAATTTTTTCATCCGATTATCTTTCATCAAATGAAGAGGTATAGTAGTGGCAATTTTATTGGCCCCTGTAATTCGCCCTTTTAGAATCTAATGTATTCTGTGTAATATTTTCAAAAGTGTACACCAAAACGTTGTGATTGGTTTAAAACGTTCTAAACAATGGAAATTCAACCAATGATGCAACGTTATTTTCATTTTGGGGTACGAAAATTGAGATTACCCATAGTCCTTTAGATTCCGAAAAGGCGAATTGAAAAATAGTAAAATTGTGATAACCTTTCAAAATTTTGTTAATTTAGTTCAAATATACAAATACTAATGTCCGACAGGTTTTATGAACATCTGAAGGCTGTTATTTGGTAGATTTTTAATACCTTTTTGTGATTTCAAATTGAAGGGGCCAAAAATGTTGCCTTGTCATACCTTTAATTTTTATACGACCGCAAAAATTAAAAAATTTTTGGTCGTATATTGGTATCACGTTGTCGTCGTCGTCATCAGCGTCGTCCGAAGACAGATGGTTTCCGGATAATAACTTCAGTATAAGTAAATAGAAATCAATATAATTTTAACACAAGGTTTATAACCACAAAAGGAAGGTTGGGATTGATTTTGGGGGTTATTGTCCCAAAGGTTTAGGAATTAGGGGCAAAAAAAGGGGCCCAAATAAGCATTTTTGCAGTTTCCAGACAATAACTTGTGTTTAAGTGTATGAATCTCTCTGAAATTATACCACAAGTTTCCATACAACAAAGGAGTGGTTATGGGGGGTTATGGCTCAAACCATTTAGCAATTAGGGGCAAAAAAGGGGGAAAAACAAGGGTTTTTATGGTTTAAGGACAATTTAGACATTTTAAAAGCAGTGTAAGGGAGGTAATCCAATCCATTTAAAGGATACTGTTATATATATGTTTGATTACCTCCCTTACACTGCTTGTAAATTATGTATTAAGAAATGATTGTCTTGAGATGATTAGCTGTAAATTTATTTTTAAAAGTTACTATTAATTGATATTAATTTTAACCATGACTATGTCATTTTTTATTTTAATATTTTATGATGTATTTAAATGAGTAGTTATGGTTGCAAACTCCATTAGAAATTTGATTTGAGATAATTTTTGGAATAAGGGAAAGGGGAGTTGAAAAAAATTGGGGGGGGGGGGGGGTAAATAAGAATTTGTGGGGTGGCTACAATTTTTCTCATTTCAGATTTCAGAAATTAAAAAGAAAATTTCTTCAAAAATTTTTTTTTTTTTGGGGGGGGGGGTTAATATTCAACAGCATAGTGTATATAGTGTATATAAATTCAAATCATATAACCAATTTTAAGTTCTTAAATACAGAAATTTTTGTATATATTTATTTTTGAGATTAATTATTTCTGTTCCAGAAAAAGATACATACAAATATTGCTCTCAAAATTTAATATACAAGTTAACAGTTCTTGCCAAATGTATCTGTTGCAATTTTAGTGATGAAAACATCAGAAAACTTCTGAATTTACAGTAGGTAAAATATCATGAAAAGTGATTTTCACCTGAAGAAGATCTCCAACATTTGGGTAGAAACCTATGTAAATAATGAAATGATAAATTTACATGGAAACCTGCATTTTGTGAAACTGTGGATATTTGATTTCATGGTTTTACAAAAGTCTGCATACATGCCTATAAAAAAATGTGTACTTAGTTGAAAATTTTAAATTTTCGTTGTTCACCTGTAACCATGAAAACCGCAAAAATTGGTATCCCCTGAATAATAAAGAAGATATAATTTTGTACATTTTAGGCTTATATGTGCTTTTGTTCTGATCTTGTGATGAGAATGTACACTGATGTCCACTCAAACTGTTCAGAATCGTGGTCCGAACAATGTCTAACCACAGTCAGATGGTAAGTCACCCTTTTATTCTGATCGGTGATGAGAATGTACACTGATGTCCACTCAAACTGTACAGAATTGTGGTCCTAAGAAGGTCTAACCACTGTCAGATGGTAAGTCACCCTTTTATTCTGATCGTGTGATGAGAATGTACACTGATGTCCATTCAAACTGTATAGAATTATGGTCCCAACAAGGTCTAACCACTGTCAGATGGTAAGTCACCCTTTTGTTCTGATCTTGTGATGAGAATGTACACCGATGTCCACTCAAACTGTAAAGAATTGTGGTCCCAACAATGTCTAACCACTGTCAGATGGTAAGTCACCCTTTTGTTCTAATCTTGTGATGAGAATGCACACCGATGTTCACTCAAACTGTTCAGAATCGTGGTCCGAACAATGTCTAACCACAGTCAGATGGTAAGTCACCCTTTTATTCTGATCGTGTGATGAGAATGTACACTGATGTCCACTCAAACTGTACAGAATTGTGGTCCCAACAAGGTCTAACCACTGTCAGATGGTAAGTCACCCTTTTGTTCTAATCTTGTGATGAGAATGTACACTGATGTCCACTCAAACTGTTCAGAATCGTGGTCCAAACAATGTAACCACTGTCAGATGGTAAGTCACCTTTATATAGTGGTCACCTGTATGTATGTACCATCATTGATTATGTTTGTTTCGGTTAAGATTTTGTGATTAGCGTTTACATGGACATACACAGAGTTCTCAAAATCTTTTTTAGTCTGGTTAGTGTTTGGACCACCAAGACTACAAATCTGTAGGTCCCAGGATGAGTATAAATTTGGTGGTTCTGTTTTCTTGCATCCACACCCTCGTAGATGAGATAAGGCCGGTTTGCACAATAATTATCTGGTTCCATATCAAATATTGATATACATTATAATAAGGAGCTATACTTAATACCAGAACATAAAAGAATAAATAAAACCATCACAAACTTTTAGTTAAACATCAGGACCACCGCTACAATTGAAATTGGTGGACTTATCTCATTTCTGGTAGTAAGGACAGACAGACCACCAGTTTTCAAGAGCACTGCATTCATAAAGGAGGGTGTGGTTGTCACGGAATAGAAGTTCCTGCATAATATAAGTTCCAAAAGAAAAAAAAATATTACAGTATATGTTCCTAACGGAATAAATGGTATAGAATATTTGTTCCAACAGGAATAGATATTATGACATTGTTTATAACAAAGTTTCCAGTGGAACTTCTGTTAGGCGGAACAAATATACGTTGACATAGTAAACAGCTTAAGGAGAGCAAGCCATCAACACAAATATGAATAAAATGAGATCTAGGGTATGCACCACTGAGGCAGCAATCCTATGACAAAAATAACCAAATGGTATAGATCTAGAAGGCAACATACAGTCTTCAACAATAGACAGGTCTCTGTACAATGTGTGAAGTTCAAAATATTCAAGAGTTTCTTAAAGTTGTGAATAAATTAAACAGAAACCATGATAGATCTTCCTTCAACATCAAATTCAGAAAAAAACAAACATTTACATGTGACATAAGACAACCACTAAAGCGATTCCTGACTTGGTACATGTGCTTTAATATGAGACCAGGTTAAACTAGTTCACAAAACTACACATCTAGAGGTCATGATACAATATACAACATTGGAAAGACTTGCACATTATATTGCAGGCTATAAATCAACAAAAATGTAGCCAAGTTTTGTAAAGGAATTGAACAGCAACTACCAATTATCTGACACCAAAATTTATTCTCAATAAACAAAGAAACATTGAATATCCCCTGACAGCCACTGATAATGAGATATCTAGCCATGTAAGAATGAGTTATAGTATTTTGTTCCAGTTCTTAACCCTGTCTCTTTAACATGTCTTTCCATCACTAGAAATAATAAAGATACAGTTTAATACACAAAAGGGATGTTCTTGAAAATTAAACACATGGGGGCCATGTTTTTAAGACCCTGACCACCAATAAGATAATTATACCCCATGCAACGAAGTTGTGGAGGGTATAATGTTTTTCACCTGTCCGTCTGTCTGTCCGTCCGTCAGTCCTGTTCTTGTCATCGCAACTCCTCTGAAACTGCACAACAGAATTTCATGAAACTTTGTAGATAATAAGGACATACGATGTAGATGTGCATATCGACAGGAAATTCCGATTCAATTTTTGGGGAAAGCCATGCAACGAAGTTGTGGAGGGTATAATGTTTTTCACCTGTCCGTCTGTCCGTCCATCTGTCTGTCCGTCCGTCAGTCCTGTTCTTGTCATCGCAACTCCTCTGAAACTGCACAACAGAATTTCATGAAACTTTGTAGATAATAAGGACATACGATGTAGATGTGCATATCGACAGGAAATTCCGATTCAATTTTTGGGGAAAGCCGTCAATTCCCTATTTGGTTGGCCAGACTTCCAAGCCTCTCACGTCAATCATTTTGTTTTTATAGTTGAAAAACACCTCAAAACATCATACTGAATTGATGAGATCGAGATAAACAAATGAACAGATTGACTTTAAAACACTTTTTTACACATTTCCCTTCTGTTTCTCGTGAAATTATCGTATCTAGAGCTCTCCATTACACTATTTACATTTCTTTTACAATCCGGAAAAATCAGTATTACGAAATATTCTAAATATATCAAACCTAGTGACGTCATGGTTGGAATTCCACACTACGTAGAAGCAGGGATATCCTTTACTCGTAAAATCATTCACCGAAATTGGTACGATTTTAAAATCGGTATTTGTTTTATTAAACATAATTATGTTTGCTGCAGATGATTCAAACATCAATGCTTTAATTTGTAGGTCAACTTTCGCGGTAAACAATGGGGATACATGAGATTGGGGAGAGAAATGACAGTTTTCATTTTTTCTGTAACTGTATTGCGAATCTTCCTCCAACACAGGAGCACCTCTATTGATGATGTATCTGAACACTTAAAATGTGACATTTAGTATATGATAAGTAGTCTGCCATTAAAACAAAATTTTGTGTACCAACATAATCATTGAAAATGGTAAAAAATTATAAAATTTCCAAATGGTGCTTTTTGTAGTTTAAACATATTTATTCATGAAATTTACAAATATATCAAAATACACAAGGATAAAAAAATTTTAGATCTGGAAACAAGCTGCAGACAGCTTATATCAATTAGATTGATTTTTGTAAGAACATCAGGGCTCACGCTACCTGGCGACTAGGGCGAAGAAGTCGCTTTCCCGTCCGTCACTTCGCTTTGCCCGACCCTCAAAAGTGAAAACAATTCGGCCTGTTGTTGACGATACTCGCTTTCAGTCGCTTTCGTCATTGGACATTTTCAATTTTTACCAAGTTGATAAAACATCAATTTTTTATTGATTATTAAAGAAATGCATACATAAACGATTCATTTTCTTAAGAAACGAGGTTTAAGCATTGAATTTACCGTGTGTTGTAGGTGGTATTTAATAAAAAGACAACTTTTTATCACTGCATGCACTTCCGGTACTTGTTACTCAGAGAGCGTACATCAATCTAACTTTCGGCAGCAAAATAAGTTTGTTACTTCATTTGAAAGTGATAAAAGTTGCCTCCAGTAAATGTTTGATCCATTTATTGCATTAAAAACGTCATATTCCTTTCCAAATAGCTTATCAAACATCGTTTATTTTTGTAAATTTTCTTCGTCCGCCATTAACGGTTATCTAACTACGGATCGGAACCGGACCAGCTATGACGGAAATCCGTATTTTTACAATAATCACTACGGTCGATGCATGAATGGAACAGCTGACTGAAGAATATTGAACCCAAAAGGAAAAATTACGCATTCCACGCGCATTAAGAGACTTTTGGTTAGATCTAATTGATTAATGTATATAATTCCATATAATTTATATGGATTGTTTCAAAATATTGATTAAAGTTGCTTAACCACTAATATCAATATATTATGGCCCAGCTTAACTTTGTATATATCTTTTGATGAGAAACACTGAATTTTATAAACATGATAAACAAGTTTTTAATTGAATTGTAATTCAAATTTTATAACTTCTTTACCTTTTTGACATAAAAAAAATTCTTTTTAGTGCTAGATATTTAGTTGGTAGTTTCTCACAAGAACCTAAACTTAAACAACTTTGAATTTGAACTGTTAATTTAATTGTATACTCAGATATGAATTGAACAATATAAAAAGAACATTATTAATATATGACCCTGTACACTATAGTAAAATCAAAACATTGTAGCGCAGCGCGCGAAGGAGCACTTCTCTTTCAAATCTCACCACTTCTCCCTATCAGTTTCAAAAAGAGAAGTCACTTCTCCCTATGATTCTGAAGTAGTGTGAGCCCTGGTACATGTATTCCTGTGAGGGGGAAATTTAAAACTGAATAGACTTTTCAGTCCTCACTTTCCTGAGAAAGTTGTAATCAATTAAAAATTTTAAGAGCACCGTCACAAAAAATTAAGAATGGCCCTAGCCTGCATTTCAGTGGTACACATCAAAAAAATTAAAAGTATATTTTAGTAGTTATTAAATGATAGAATTCAATTGAATTTTCTAAAATCAATCCACTAAAGCACCTGTCACTGTAAAGACATCCTATCTTTGCTCCCTTACTGTATAAAAAAATGTAGGTCTGTCAAAAACTTGATAGGTCTGGCAAAACTTGCTACCCTGTAGGCCCCAATGTCTGACAGAAAAAAAAAAAACTGTTTGCATCTCTGAAACAGGGACATCATCTGTGTATGATGGACACATTCCCCATTTATTTTTCTTCCGTGTTGGAAGATATTGGTTTGATATTTGGTATATAGTTTTATCATGACCAGTTACAGATCAAATTTGAAATTTAAATTTTGTTCGGTTAGGATGATTTGTTTGCAGCATTTGAGTCCTCGGACTTGGAAAATTCACGCAAATAATCAGTTTTCCGCACTATTTTTGTTATAAGTGCTTTTGTAGTTTGGTCTGTTTTTTAGATACATGTACTATAAACAAAAGATTAGGTAATGGAATGAATGTAAGGTGTATATTTCCGTCTTACCGGTTTCATCTGACCTTTACCTTTTTTTGGGATTCATTGGATAATGTTTTAAAAATATCCTGTTTGGGCTAAATCTATGATACTATAAGCCATAGGGCCATTATTTTCATGTTAATTGGTATATATCATGGAATGGTTGTTAATAGGTAGACATGTCTCTCTGGCAAGTTTTCATGGTTTTGTCCATTTATCAGATACTGTAAGCCATTGGTCAACTATATTAGTTGTAAGGAATATTGCAAGATGTACATGTCTGTCTGGTAGAGTTCATCAGACCTTGGCCTCATTTTCATGGTTCATTAATTTAGTCAATGTTCAATTTTATGCAATCAGGTCTTTTTCTCTTGCCCTTTGGCTTACCGTATCATGAGTATATGCAAAAGGCCAACTTTATTTGGTGTACAATGTATGGTATGAAATTTAATTTAATCAAGTAAAGCAGCAGAGACATATCAGAATGTGCACTCTTGTTGTCATTTTAGTTGCATTTCATTAAGTTAGTTATTTGTGAGTATAAATTAAGTTGCCTTCACAAAGACTTTTAATTATCTGACCTCGTCCACCATAATGAAATTCAAAATATTTCACGGTGGCTAGCTTAACTTAACTAATGCATTTGTTTCTCTCGAAATATTGAGATATTATCTAAAACAAGACCCTTTAATTAAATTTACTACTTCACTGTTTTATTACTTGCACATTTTATGTTCTTTAATGTTTTGTTATATAGAAGTTTTGAAAACCTACTTGAATTATGTTACCCAATGCACAATTGGGTATCTTACATTGATTATATATGTGCATTGTTGACAACTTGTTTTCCATGCAACGTAGGGGGCTATTTCTTTCAGTTCTACACATGCAAAACAGTCTTTGTTTGTTTTAGTCTCCTTAGAGCAGACTGTATATATAGGAAATACCTTGTTGCCTCTCAGTGGAGAATATTTTGAGGTTTTGTTTCTTTCACATGATTTATTAAACCATATAACTAATTTATTAACTTTATAAATACTTTTTGAACTTTAGTATTTTTTTTTAATTCAAAGATATAGGACATTGTAAAGATTATTAGATAAAGCTAAAATTGACAGTACAAGTGCTTTATTTCCAACCTGAATATACATTTCCAATGCTGTTTTCTGTGACCTAATAGAGAGTATTTATAAATTAAAACTATTCATATATATATATACTGATATACTGAATGTTTTCATTCAACATATCTATATATAAATGATGCATTTGTTATCTGTAGTAAAATGTCAAGTCACATTAACTGTTATATCTAAAAGCTGTCATAGTTAGTGAGTTTAAATCATTACTGTACCTTTGGTATCTTTGGCCTCTCCTGGCTCTCTTTAAGACAATTATTGAATCAAACCTTGTTTTTATACAGTATTTTAACTGCTTCCAATTTCCATGTTGTGAAATACTTATCGGTTTATATAGCCAGTACTGAGTATTAATTTTTACACGAAAAAAGTATATACTACCAAATTTGTGAACTTGTGTTGCCCAGCATAATAATTATCTTTCAACTTTAATCAAATGTTTTGATTAAGAAGGTGCTGATCTCTTCCATTTGTCCAAATTGACTCCATGATTAATTCTTGACTAAGGAAATGAAATTACATGTACATTAAACAACAATTAATTTCAATATTGTCAACCTTTCTACATGTTCTAGCTGTTCTTTTGCTCATTCTTTGTATGAAGACTATCAAAGGATACCCCAAAAAATAGAAACAAAGGCTGTCTTTTCCCTCAGAGCTCTCAAGCTCTTTGATTTTCTAGGAGTTATGCCCCTTTGAACTTAGAATTTTGGCCAAACTATACTACTGCAACAGTTTGTCATCGCAACTTCTCTGAAACCACTTCTTTTGAAGCCGAGACATTTTCACATCTGATTATATAACAAATGACCAACAGAATTTCACGAAACTTTGTATATAATAAGGACATACTATGTAGATGTGCATATCGACAGGAAATTACTATTGAATTTTTTTCTAGGAGTTATGCCCTTTGAACTTAGAATTTTGGCCTATATATACTACTGCAACAGTTTGTAATCGCAACTTCTCTGAAACCACACAACAGAATTTCATGAAAGTTTGTAGTTAATGAAGACATGACATGTAAATGTGCATATCCACAAGAAAATTTTTATCAGTTGACTTTTGTAGAGTTATGAGTCATTGAACTTAGAAATCTGGTGAGATTTTGTTTGTCCAGTGACAATGTGGGGGCGTGGGGTATGTGAGCTTGCTCACAAAGGTTCTTTAATTTTTTTAATTTTATTATATGATATTACAAAATCCTAAAGAAAATGCAACCAACCATATTTGATTAATTTTAGTGCCTTCCCTCCCACAACTGATCAATTTTGGAACAGCCCTAATGAAAATTTAAATAAAAAGACAGCACTTAAGGTGGTACATAACACTACAGGGAGAAAACTCTGTAAAAATCAGCTGAACGTTTTAATCACGTTCTATTGTTAAGGAAATATTAAGCTTCTCAATGATCAAAATTAATTTTTTGTCAAACTACTATGTATCCAATGAAATTTTTCTGATAAAGTGTGTTGTTCAAGTTTTTTGAAATTTTGATATTTTTGTTAAAGGGTCAAAGTAAATATTTTGTCAAAATTTTATGAAAATTAATGAAGCCAAATAAATTTTAGTCGAGGTATTTGGTACCACCTTAATTGGGTACAGATGCTCAATTTATTTCAGGTAGGCGGTAATGGTAGCCTTTTCCTCAATTCCTCTCTGGCTCATATCCTAAACTTGGTTATGTATGATAGCTCGTTTTGAAGCTGAGACTTTTTCACATCTGTGATTAAATTTTCGGGGTATGAAGTGAGATTAGTTTTTCCATAATTTAGCAAACTTCGAAAAGCCTTTTGAGATGCCGCATCTCGAGGTAAAAAATCCTTTTTTTCACACAATAAGTTCTTTTAAAATTTAGTTCTTTGCATACATTTGATAACTCCATAGTTTTTACACCTTTTTTGTATAGTCCTCTGCTCTCCGAGTCAGCACAAATGGTAGTGCTCAGTCACTTGTAAAGATTGAAACAGGTCCACAACACAGAGATTGTTTACAGACTACATTTGTTTTCCTCAATTTGAGGCGCATTAGGGATATTGACCCAATTAGATTTAGTCTGTATAATCATGATAACAAATGACCATAACTTGATTAAAAAATGTGATACAGAAGTAGCAAAGAATGATGAAGCACAATGACCAAACTGTTTACAGATAATGGTTATTCCAGAAATATATACTGTAAATTCAGAAATTATTGCGTGCATTTATTATTGTGATTTTTGAAGAATTTATAAAAAGGCAAGACTAAATTATGCGATATCAGGAAAATCTGCATAAAGCTATATGTATCAGTTATCAGAATGGGAGGTCTTATTATTGCGATTCTCACCCTGTCGCATTATTCGCATTAATAAAAACCTCATAATAATTTCTGAATTTACAGTATTATGTGAGCTCTAAGTAGTATCTTATATTTGAATACCACTGTTTTTTTCCCAAGTATGTGCAAGTGATCCAACTCGTATGAAATGAATGGATGGATACCCCATATCCTTTGTTTTTCTATTCTATTTACTATTAAAGGTTTAATTACATTTTTTGTTTGTATTTGAACAGTATGGCTTACAACAGGGAGACAGACGATGTGTATGTCGGAGGTGTTGGAGTTCTGCAGAAATGGAAGATTAGTGGAGCAGAGGTATAAGATAGACAATTGTAGTACACAAAAAATATCCTCTCCTCAAAAATTAGTTATTGGAATTTTTGTATTAGATGATGTTCATTTTATTTGATGCTCTTTTGCTTCTTTTTGTTATCAAATCCACTGCTGACATGGGGTTATAAAGGGTTTCTTTTTGAATGATCTGCAAAAATTTAATTCCTTTGAAGAATGAAGAAAATGATATCTTATTTAGTATCTATTGGTTGCACTATGGTATATTTTGGGTATTTTTGCGCTATTCTTTAACATACTATGGAATATATGGTTTGGATGTCTGAAGTCATCACTGTATATTAAAAAAATGACTTGCAAATTTTATTACAATTTTACTGCACAGTAGAGTATAATGAAAACAGTCAGGCAAATTAACATATATTTATAACCGACACAAGACAATAATTTGTTCATAGAGACTGTTATTTTTTTTGTATTAGACAGAGGACAAATAATTTGATCATAGAGATTATGTATATATTTTCATTCACATATTACATGCCTTTATCTGTCTATTTTTAGCATTCAGCCAAAGCAGAACCTGGAGACGTCTTCAACACTGATTTGCAAAAAGACGAGGTGAGTAAAAACAGCAATGATTTAGAGGCATGAGTATTGCTACATTCTGCATGATTTGTCTTGTTTTTTAAATGCTTCTACTTTATTGCAAGTTCTCCCACTTTGTTAGAAGGAAAATCAAAACAATTGGTACAAATATTGGAAAAATCTGTTCTATTGGTTTTGATGGTCTTCACAATATTTGTTTGTTTTTGTTCTCAAGCACATATGTCACATTTTTTTATAGTTATTCTAGGACATATGTGTCATCTTCCATGAAATCTGTAATTATTATCAGCCTGCAACATTTTGTCCGGGACAGGAGACATAGCGATCCTACTTTCCTTTGTCCACAACATCAGCATTAAGGTTCAGTCTGTGGTTTAAATCCTTTAGATATCAATAAAATTGTCAAACCTTTATGGAATTTTCCAAAATTTAAACAGAATCTTTTTTTAAGATCAAAAGACAGTATTCAGTGTTAAAGTTCGAAAATATTTATTCTTTTTACTATATTTTACTGATAAATAAACTTAGTTTTGATGATCAACATTACACTTTTACACTGACAGCAGCAATTGCAGGCAAGTCGACACAGGGTTCTGCAGGCGGACAAAAAGTTTAGCCCCTGCTTCGGAGAGCCGCATCGGCCTATGAAATTTTCTTGGCGAGGTAGAAGGCGGGACTTTTTACAAATTTATGTTTTACATTTAGGAAATAAAAACAACATTGGAATTTATTGAGGATTTATGTGGCCAACATATAACAGAATGATTTTGTATTTACTGAAGTTGTATGATGAAATTATTTTTATACGACCGCAAAAAAATTTTGAGGTCGTATATTGGTATGACGTTGGCGTCGTCGTCCGAATACACAATGGTTTTCGCACTCTAACTTTAGTTTAAGTGAATGGATCTCTATGAAATTTTACCATAAGGTTCAATACCACAATAGGAAGGTGTGGATTGATTTTGGGGGTTATGGTACCAACAGTTAAGGAATTAGGGGCCAAAAAGGGGCTGAAAATAAGCATTTTTGTAACTTCCAGACATAACTTGTGTGTTAGCATATGGATCTCTTTGACATTGTACCACAAGATTCCATATCACAAAGGGTCAATGCTGGGATTGATTTTGGGGTTAATTGCCTCAAAATTTTAGGAATAAGGGGCCAAAAGGGGGCAAAAAACAAGCATTTTTCTAGTTTCATGACAATAACTTGTGTGTAAGTGTATGGATCTTTCTGAAATTTTACTACAAGGTTCCATTTCACAAAGGGAAAGCTGGAATTGAGTGTTGTGGTAATTGCCCAAAACGTTTAGTAATAAGGGGCCTAAAAAGGGGTTTAAAATAAGCATTTTTTAGTTTCTAGACAATAACTTGTGTTCAAGTGTATGGATCTCTCTAAAATTGTATTACAAGGTACCATACCACAAAGGCAAGGCTGTTATTGAGCTTGGTTTGGGGGGAAAGGGGGGTGGGGGTGATGAATCATAAGGGGGGCGGGGGTCAAAAAAGAGGTAATTTTTTTTTTCCTTTTTTTTTTGTTTAAAATTTACATTTTAAGTTAGTTATTTTTTATCACGAAGAGAAAGTAGGAATTGAGTTTTGGGGTTAATTGCTCAAACATTTATGAATAAGGGGCCAAATATTGGTCGAAAATAAGGATTTTTTTAGTGTGCTCTAATGTTTAAGGAATACGGGGAAAAAAGGTTAAAAAACAAGGGTTTCCATTTTAATAGACAAATAATTGAGTAAAGAACATTATTTAAAAGCAGTGTAAGGTTGGTAATTCAAACTCATTTAAATATCTCATCTACACTGCTTTTAAATTATGTAAATTGGAAATTTGCCAATAACTTTATTGTTAATAAATGCATTGGAAATTTGCCAACAATTTTAGTGTAATAAACTTCATTGGAAATTTGCCAATATAAAATTTTGCCGATGAAGGTTTTTTGTTTACCTTTAGCCTTGACTATGAAGTCATTTTCTATTTTTATAGCCTTATGATGTAGTTGAATTATTTAATACTTTTATGATGTGTTTAAATGGGGTTTTATCATGTTTATGGTTGCAAATTTATTGTTTTAGTATAATAAACTCCATTTAAAATTTGCCAATAAAAAAAATTTTTGTTTATTTTTAGCTATGATTATGATGTCATTTTCTATTTTACTTTTATGGTTGCAAAGAAATTTTTATTTTTAGATATTACTGTTAAATGATGCTGATTAAGGTTTTTGCTATGTTTAGCCATGACTATGATGTCATTTTCTATTTTAATATCTGTTATGATGTATTTAAATGGGCTTTTATGGTTACAAAGGAATTTTATTTTTAGATATTACTATAAAATGTTGCTGATGCTGATTAAGGATTTTGTTTATTTTTAGCCATGACTATGATGTCATTTTCTATTTTAATACCTTTATGATGTAATTTCCATTTTTAGATATTACTGTTAAATGATGCTGATTAAGGGTTTTTTGCTATGTTTAGCCATGACTATGATGTCATTTTCTATTTTAATATCTTTATGATGTATTTAAATGGGCTTTTATGGTTACAAAGGAATTTTATTTTTAGATATTACTTTAAATGTTGCTGATTAAGGATTTTTGTTTATTTTTAGCCATGACTATGATGTCACTTTCTATTTTAATACCTTTATGATGTATTTAAATGGGCTCCCATGTATTTAGATTTTTGATTATTTATACATGTTACCAAATTGGTCCACATTGAACAAAAACGGTCCAAATTTCAACTTTATTACATTACATCAAACATTGAATTCTACATATTCTTTGATATATTGAAATTAACAAACAATTTAGTTTATGGAGATTCCACCATAATAGGTAAATTAAATTTTTTCCAGTTCTTACACCACATTCATCCTGTGTCAGAAACCTATGCTGTGTCAAATATTTAATGACAATCCAAAGTCATAGCTGTATCAAGCTTGAATTTTGTGTCCATACTTGCCCCAACTGTTCAGGGTTCGACCTCTGCGGTCGTATCAAGCTGCGCCCCAGCGAAGCATTTTATTGTACTCATAAAAAAAATAATAAATTGTGCATTAAGCAACCTAAAAATATTGAAAAAACTCAGTTGAAAGAAAATCCTGAAATTTAAGTGTGACGAAAAATCCTAATTGTTTGAATTTCTGTTTATTGCATAAATTAAAAAAAGAAACAGGTGGTAACTTTTTGAAATTTGGTCATTCCTTCATGTCCTGGATGCATTATTTTTCCTCATTAAAAGCTAAGCAACAGCATTCCTTGTTTTCTCACATCTTACATCTAGTCTCAGACCCTCTCCATATCATTTAACTTTGTGTAATGTTTCTATTTTATAGTGGGTGATTGACATCAAAGTTGATACAAGAAATAAACAGTTAATGGCCGTCACTTACGAAGGAGTATATGTTGTCAACTATGAGGTATATATAGATTCTACCACTGCATCGAGTGTGATACGATATTTATCCACTCGAGACAGTTAAATTTTCAAATTTAAAACGCGAGGCTCGTCGAGCGTTTTAAATATTTAAAATTTAACTGTCGAGAGTGGATAAATATCGTATTACACGAGATTTGGTGGTGGAATCTGTTTCTCTAATGATTTTCAAACAATATGCAGGCAAATTTATTCCATCTTTTCGAATGATCTGTAAAAAGATGTGTTCTTTCTATGTGACGTCATCAGGCATGGTCGCCTTTTTTCATGCTGTCACAATAAGAAATTCAGAGGAAAGCAAGTAAATTTGATGTCATAATCAGATTTTAACCAATAAAGAACTGACATCAGACGAACCACACGTTGATTAAATTTTTTTATACAATGGGTGCAGAAAGGGATAAATGGACAAAGAATTAGAAAAATTTATTTAGCAAATGATTGTTCCTATGGGCAAGATATATATACAGTGAATTGTTTTTGTTAGAGAAATCTTTAAAGTAAAGTATGCAATTGTAGATTTTTTATTATCTTTCGCTTTATATTTATTGTGATAAAAGGTGTTAATTCATTGTAGAGAATTGTAAAAAAAAGGTAAAACATTTCTTTGTTGGGATTTTTTTTTTTTTTAAAGTCTGATTTCTAATAATTCACATACTTTGAAATCCTATTTTTCACAAAGGACAAGGTATGATAAGGGGCGTTTTTGGCCCCCTTCCAGAATAAGTTTATATATAGATCATTGATAGCCTTTGTATAGAAACTAGACAAAACAGGATTTTTTTCTGTTCCGGTGAAAGCAAGGTTGCCTAGCAATGGTTTTATTAAATAGCCAAATTATCACTTATGCATTGCTTTCTCATTACAAATTAGCATAATTCAAAATAATGTTGTTTGTTTAATAATAATTTGAAGTTGCAAATGAATAGTCACTTCAATTTCAGTTTAATAAATGCTTAGCAACAGCCTAGCAACAAAAATATTGCCTAGCAACGGTTAAAAATTTGTAATTTCTGCCATATGAGGTATAAATATAGCAATGTTTGAAGATTTAGCTGCCATAAATGATTTTTCATTCATATATGATGTCTGAGTCATCATTATTCTTTTTTAAGTAGTCTTATTTAGCATAGCAACCCTATATTTGCTTAGCAACAGCCAAAAAAGATAAAATTAAATTTAACTACAAAAGTACTTTTTTTTTATTGTACAAATTAGAATAAAAGAAGATCAGATTAGTTTATAAGAATAACTAGCAGTAAGAAATGAAAGTAATTCAATTGTATATCATGCTTATCAACAATTTAGCAACCAAAATAGTGCTTAGCAACAGTCAAATTATGTTTTTTTTTGTTACTAGAAGTATGATTTCGGCATCATTATTCTATTTTGATGAAGTCAATATCTAGCATATTAACTCATATCTTGTTAACCACAACAGAAAAAAACAGGATTAAATCAAAGACAGGTACCAAGGAATTGGTCAGATTATTTGACAAAAATGCATAAATGCAAATCAGATTGTCAAAAAATAGACAGTAGGAAATGAACAATCTTTACATTAACAAATTAGGTAAAATAAAAAAAAAAGCTTTATAGTGACACTTATATTCATAAATAATAGTAGAAGTTATGAATATAGCATTAGCAGTACATTTACATGATGATTACATTAAAAAAAACCACAAAGCGGTTAAAAATACTATTGAAAATCAGTATCTTATTAATACGGTTTAAGTAATTATGACAAATACGTGTTGCTTGTGCAATGCCATTGTTTGTCAGTTTAAGTATCCTATACTGTGACTTTTTAACACTTAAAGCAATATTTTAAATAAAGTAATACTGAACACAAAGTTCAAAGTTCTCGTTGAGGTCAGAGTTAAAAACACTCACAAAGATGTGTAGACGGAAGAAGGCGACCTTTATGAACATTTTCAACTTTCTCTGAAAATTCATTATTTCTACGATAGATTTCCTGAAATTAACACATTGATCACTGATGAATAGTATCATTTGCAATCATACCACATCTCTTTATTTTATCCAAAATGTGACGCTAATGTTTATATGGAAACATATACATATGTTCTTGATAAGAAATATTTTATGAAACCCAAAAATATTTGAATTTGATTAGAAACGTACACATACTTCATTAAAACGTTAAAGTTGCGGCTAATTAGTATTAGTGAAAATGGAAACAGTAACAGGACACACTTTTAACCACAACCATGCAAAGTCCTGATTTATACAAAGCCATCAAGTGGTTTCTTCAGAAAAATATAGATTAACTGATCAAAGACATCAAAAACCAGTTAAGAAATTCAAAAGTGTCATCAGTGCAACTTCTTAAAGGACTAAAATATTAAAATCAAATTATAGAAAATGATATAATTTAACATATTTCTTGTTATTATGAAAGTGCATATAGTTGCACCAGTTGCCCATATTTATGATGATGACTGCAATCGGAAATATATCATACATATAAGCACAAGAAAAAAAATTAAAGTGTGCTGTGTACAAACCAAACGTTCGAATCAGAACATTTGAGAGCTACTTCACAAGGTATCATAAAGCCTTAACATATTTCTGACTCAGAGATGACAAGTCTTTGCTTTTACAGATATAGAACCATAGATATGGACGATACGGGTATTGAATAAATATTTGAAAGTACTAAAAAATCTTATTTATTGTATTAGGGACATTAAACTGTAGTAGTGCAAATCATGTTTTCAATTATATAGCAAGTGAGAAGGAAAACAAGTTCAACTCCCTGTTTTTGTGAATATCTAACATCTACCCCTTTCTGACTTTTAGTACAAAAAAAATGACTAAGTCAAAATACCTGGCATTCTGAGGGTATTTAAAAAAAAAACTGTGGACATACACGCTTCCATTATGTGTACAGCACGGATGGATGGATGGACGGACAGGTCTAAATTAATATGCCCGCTCCACATTTTTTCACGGGGGGCATACAAATATGAAATTGAAATAAGAGGGCATAGTTTACCTATAGACTGATCAGGTCAGAAGTATTTGTTTTGTACTACAATACTTCTAGGAACCAGTGCAGTCCGGGATAAGGTATAGGTTTTGCATGAAATGATTGTCACTTAGATAGAACTTTAGACAAAATATCTATAAAGGTTTGAAATGGCAAAAATAAATACACATATTTCTTCACACATACTTAGCACAGACTTCATTAGTCTGTTTGCCCTGGGTCTTGTCCAATTTGTATTCATGCAAGTAAAATATGTTGAAACTAAGCCTTTTTTGTAGTATCTTTTCTTTGAAAATCCAAACAGGAGCTAAGAGAATGAAATGTTACTTTTATTTTATGAATACAACTTGTCAAAAGGTTGATACATATATAAAGAAATTGTACCGATATATAAATAGGGTGTCAATATATAAAATACAGTAGAGGTTAAGAAGTTTCATGAACTTGCTTTCAGTGTCAACTACACTTTACATGGAATGTAATTTATATTATTACATTATTTTATTTTTATCTGCACATTGCACAACGATTTTGTCTATTCGAAAAGATGACGAGGGGAGTTTTTCACGACCTTGACTACCAACGAGGATCTTGCACCGTTGGTAATATATGGAAGTTTTTAACGACCTTGACTGGCTATACAGCCCTTGCACGGTTGGTTTTTCGGCTCGTCAAGGTCGGTAACTGTCGGTAAAAAGAAAGTAGATGAAATCAATATATATAAATCTATTTTTCTGTAGATGGTAAAATAGAAAACTTGCAAGTGCAAAATATACTTGAGGAAATGAACAATTTACTTCAGAATTACAAAAAGAGTTTAAATGTATGCAGACCTTATTATAAAATTCATTTGTAAGATTTAATTGATTAATTGAAAATAATAATGATTGGAAATTAATTCACCATATTTCAATGGACACCACTCTATTATGTTTGCACCGTGATAGACCTTTTTTGCCTGGGTTAAATTACACGTATAACACATTATCTTTAAGAGAGTGACATGTCTTGATTACTGGATACGACGTAAAAGCTATTCGTACGTGATATTCTATTAATTGTGGACACGGAATAATCTCGTAACCCGTGCCGTTTCGTTTGATGTATTATATGGACTTGTCAAAATTGTAAACAATCGGATTATTTTTTTAAATTTTAGACATGAGCGCCAACGTAGACCACCGTGATATTTTATTAAATGAAAGATACATAAGAGTAGAGTTGATGGTTGAAAAATTTTAGGATGGTCTACGTTGGCGCTGATGTCAAATTTCATCTCCAAACATGAATAAAATTGTAGATTTTTTACACTTTTCGTTGTTCATAGCCTTTTCAAGGTCTAAGTTTGCACAGATTTGAGCACATAAAACAATAAAGTAAGGTGCTACGTGCACGAGCAGATACTATAGTTCATTCCACAGGCGGGTTGGGTTTCAACTTCAAAGTTTCAAAATTCCGAAAAAAGGGGGGCCAGAAACGGCCCTTATCATACCTTGTCCTTTATGTAAATCCCTGAATTAAGCATAATTTTCTTGTGTAGATCAAAGTACGATTTTCATTTTCTCTTCAGACAATGAAACAGACTCATCACTTAGAAAACAGACATGGGAATTCTTTAAGATGGTATGTATAACATTTCATTTTGAAAAGTAAAATGTGTTCAAAGTTTATGTCTTACTGACCTTAAGCCTTTTCATGCTTTAGATCTTGTCAGATACTGTTAAGTCAAAAGTTTATCCTGAGATTTCAGAAATGTAAAGGGTTATTCCTAGAAAAAAATGTATGGGAGGGTTGGACACCACATGATATTATTATGTGGGTAGTAGGGTGGAAGCAAATATGATTATATAACAAATGAAAATAAAAATAATGTGTGACTGGGTATAAAAGAAGTGTTGTCCACCCTACTCCCCTCAACATTTTTTCTTGAAATAGCCCTGAAGTGCTCAGCAGGATTTTCGCGAAATTTAAAACACTATTTAATGCCATACCAAAAAAAAAAAAATTAGATCTTAAGGACAATTTTTTTATGTAATTTTTGTCGAGCCTGCGACTTTTGTCGCAGAAAGCTCGACATAGGGATAGCGATCCGGCGGCGGCGGCGGCGGCGTTAGCTAACTTCTTAAAAGCTTTATATTTTAGAAGATGGAAGACCTGGATGCTTCATACTTTGTATATGGATGCCTCATGTTACGAAGTTTCCGTCAGTCACATGTCCAATGTCCTTGACCTCATTTTCATGGTTCAGTGACTACTTGAAAAAAAAGTTCAGATTTTTTGTAATGTTAAATTCTCTCTTATTATAAGTAATAGGATAACTATATTTGGTATGTGCGTACCTTGCAAGGTCCTCATGCCGGTCAGACAGTTTTCACTTGACCTCGACCTCATTTCATGGATCAGTGAACAAGGTTAAGTTTTCGTGGTCAAGTCCATATCTCAGATACTATAAGCAATAGGTCTAGTATATTCGGTGTATGGAAGGACTGTAAGGTGTACATGTCCAACTGGCAGGTGTCATCTGACCTTGACCTCATTTTCATGGTTCAGTGGTTATAGTTAAGTTTTTGTGTTTTGGTCTGTTTTTCTTATACTGTATGCAATAGGTCTACTATATTTGGTGTATGGAATGATTGTAAGGTGTACATGTCTAGCTGGCAGGTGTCATCTGACCTTGACCTCATTTTCATGGTTCAGTGGTCAAAGTTAAGTTTTTGAGGTTTGGTCTTTCTTTCTAATACTGCATGCAATAGGTCAGCTATATTTGGTGTATGGAATGATTGTAAGGTGTACATGTCTAGCTGGCAGGTGTCATCTTACCGTGACCTCATTTTCATGGTTCAGTGGTCAAAGTTAAGTTTTTGAGTTTTGGTCTTTTTTTCTAATACTATATGCAATAGTTCAACTATATTTGGTGTATGGAAATATTTTATGATCTATATGTCAGTTACGCAGGTTTTATTTGACCTTGACCTCATTTTCAAGGTTCATTGCTCAGTGTTAAGTTTTTGTGTTTTCGTCTGTTTTTCTTAAACTATAAGCAATAGGTCAACTATATTTGTTGTATGGAAGAATTGTTAGCTGTACATGCCTGCCTAGCATGGTTCATCTGACCTTGACCTCATTTTCATGGTTCATTGGTCAATGTTTAGTTTACTTGGTTTATGTTAAGTTTATGTGACAGTTGTAATAAAGCTTTATATTTAGGACTATCAACATAATATCAATGATTAGTAAAGAAGGCGAGACATTTCAGCGTGTGCACTCTTGTTTTTCTATGTGTTAAGGATATCTGTTATGTAAATTTTAAATTCCAGCATAAATTTGCTCTTTTGCTAAGTATAACTGTCCATTAAATTCCTTGGATTCTCAGTATATTTTAAAAAGGATGAATATCAATTTTCACAACTAAAATGATACTCATTTCATAATTTTTAGTTGTTGTTTCTATAAAGACAGAGAATACTTTATTACTGGAGGAGGTGATGGAGCCATCAAGGTAAGAGTTATTTACCCTTTGTACCACAAGAGTTATCCACCCTATACTTTTTCTTTACTTTCTCTTTCCTTTACTTTCTGTGAAAAAAGAAAAGATATTTTCAGTGAACAGTGCAAGACTGGTGTATGTAGTAAATGTTATAAAGCACAAACATCATCCTATTTTCTAAAAATGACAAAAGTTTCTAGATTAACTATCATCAGGTACTCTCGAACCCAAAAGTTAGAATATCACCAAGAACAGATTCACCTGAAATAATAAAATCATGTTTTTTTACTTCTAAAACTGCAGATTCAACCTTTGATAAAAGTATGAATCTTAAATCTAATTTTACAAAACAGTTAATGCAAGTGATTTAAGTATTTATGAGATTTCTTCTTTAAGATTTATCTCCTTAGTCTGTCTTGTAAAGAGAAGTTTCTAAATTGGAGAATTATCTTCTACAGGTCTGGAATGCTGTTGTATTTACTCAGGTCCATGTGTTTTATGGGCACCATGATGTCATAACAGGTAAACATACATTTTTTTAAAAAGTACTCTACATTGTCATATAAATAAATCCAGGTGTTAAAATTTTGTCTTTTGTTTTTTAAAGATAAAAATAAAAACACATTTATCACAAAGCATCAAAGTCGTTAAATTATCAAATCTAGGTCAACTTTTTTATCACACATTTCAAAGTCTGAAAGCTGAAAGATCATAACACAACTTCTTTTTTCTTTTGTACTCTACAACAAACATTTAAATAGGCTTGTTGACTATGTATCATGCATTGTATTTGTATATTTTCAGCTCTGCAGACCCACAAAACAGACCCTTTGCTGTTCTCTTCTTCTTTAGATGGTAGTGTACAAATATGGAGAATGGATAATTTCTCAAAGGTAAACAAAGTAATGAAATGTATTGTTCAATGTATTGGTTAATAATTATTAACAATCTTGAAAATCTTCTTTTGAATTGTTACACCTACTGCATAGGAAAGTAGGGCTTATTTAGAGATCACTGTGTCTGCAGATTTGTGTGTGCATTCATTCATCCTCTTTGTATCTACAACTCGAAGCCAGTTACAGGATTTCAATGCAGCTTCTTGATAAATTTTAGTAATGTCATGGCATTGTAGACTTCTTATTTTATTTTTTGGACTGAGAAATGTTTTGGTATCCCATTGCATAACATGGACTTTGATACAAAGGAGCAGAGATTGACTTTTTTTTTACTTTGCTGACAATTTTTCTTTTTAATGAAATGAAGTCTCAAGTCAAAATTGGCAAAGATATAGCTCTGGAAATACTTGGAAAGCTACCATACCCTCTCCATTAATTTAGACCTTTTAATGGATAGTTTTTACAATAAAAGCCCTACATTGGTATTATTACAATAAGTATAGGATGTGTTGTTATAAAAGCAAGCAATTGTTAATACAGATTGAATGGTAACTGATTTTCAAGGAACTATTGAATATATTCCTTACTTAAGAAATGAGATAATGATGTTAGTTTTGACGAACTTTATAGGTTAAATAATTTGTTGTAGTTCATGAGATTAGATCTAGGAGACAAGATATACAGCATGAAACTTATTGGTGATGAAGAATTCTACTGTCAGACAGAAAACCAGATCAAAATCTATAGTCTTAATCAGGTAAGACTTAGAAGAAATTACATTTAAATCACATGACTAAAATCTATTGCCTAATTTAGGTCACATTTGATCAAATGAAAATCAGTTTTATATAAATTTGAGACTGAAAACCAGTTCATAAAAAATAACTTAGAATGATATATACAGAATTGGATTATTCAGAATTTTTTATGCCCCACCTAGGGGCATTATGTTTTTTGGTCTGTGTGTCCGTTCGTCAGTCCATCTGTCTTTCCCGCTTCAGGTTAAAGTTTTTGGTCAAGGTAGTTTTTGATGAAATTGAAGTCCAATCAACTTGAAACTTAGTACACATGTTCCCTATGATATGATCTTTCTAGTTTTAATGCCAAATTAGAGTTTTGATCCCAATTTCACTGTCCACTGAACATAGAAAATGATAGTGTGAGTGGGGCATCAGTGTACTATGGACACATTCTTGTTTTTAAGTAAGGCTTAAATTAAAATATTGTTTGTTTGCAGTTTACCGACCGACCTTCGAAAATCCGCCCGACTGTGAACATTTTATTGCTTTTAATTTGAAGAAATTATTTTTAATACTTCTATTGACTCAATCCGGAATTTCGGGTCGTTTCCGTAATTGATTTCGAGTCTAGGTCAATTACATGTTTGAAGTTCGGTTTTTCTTTCCTTCCTGTCAAGCGTACATCGGACCCTTTAATGGTAAAGCACATGGAGATTGTTTACAGGTATTCACGAAGTCATGGAGGAGTACTTTATTCTGTTGTCTTCTGTCAATTTTAAGACAGATAATACACAGATAAGTTTCATAGTAAACTGTTTATACTGATTCAGGCAGAATTGCACACGGAATGATGTCTTCGATGTCAGATATCATTGACGATGATGCAGCGGATATTCATAAAACCGACACGATAACCGTTTCTGTCTCAAACGAATCGGATACAGAATCTTTTGAGACTGACTTTATGGAACCAAATGCAATATCAGTGGTTCAACAATTTGACAGCAGCCTGAAGTATGCCATATTTTTTTAAATCGTCGTGAAGACGACAAAGATGAAACCACTCCTCCGTGACTTCATGGATACCTGTAAACACGCCTGTACGGTGGAAGGACGCATTTGAAATGTTAAATCAATAAGAAGCCACACAAACTACACAAAGATGTAGAGAAAATGAATGGTTGGCTTGAGAAATAAATATATTCTCTCTGTATCAAATCTATCATCCATTGCAATGAGTATGCTCCTTTAGGATAAGGGGGGCTGTCCCACTCATTGCAATTATTCTCTCTCTTACAGTATTAAATATCAGTACCCAAACTGTGTGGCCTGTGTAAATTTAATTGATATATGTCCTTAGCTAGGAGCTATGCTTCTGATTTTTTTTATGCAGTCAAAACATTTCAGTACAGACCATTTACTTTTAATGGGGTGGTATGGATTTCACCCCAAAGCTAGTCTTAAGATTTTTGTTTGTTATTATTAAAGCCTGGCATCAACATATCTTTCCAAATATAACCTTAATAACAGTCAGATGTCTAATATATTTTTTTTAAGTTGTCTTTTTTTCAATTGAGGAAGATTCAATGGTCGATTTTTTTTAACACACTCCTAAATTATCTTTAATATCTACATTTTCTGATGCAAATACTCTATTCATGAAAACATTCTGGTAAAAATGCATATATGTCAGTGAATATGTTTCTTTACAACAATACTAGTCATTTCTTGTTTATAAGTGTTCCAGTATTTCATAATACCATAATTTTATGTCATAAATTGTATAATGACACTATGTTGAGTTTCAGTTTTGGTTAAAATGGTGTTTACCTGAAAATGCCTGTTCATTTCATGTTGGTTTTCAGTGTTTGTTGTTTTAAAATGTTTTTTTTCTTCACAAGAAACTTGGTTTGTGTTAAACTGCTTGTTTAAACTTTATTCTGGCTGATAAAATAAAATATTTTTCCTACCTACCGACCCTGCAGTCTGAAGGTACAGTCGGAAAACTGCAAACAAACATATTTTTAAGGTTGGCCTAGAATTGATATTTTTATGTCCCTGCCTCTAGGCAAAGGGGACATTAAGTGTTACCCTTGACTGTCCGTTCTTCAGTCTGACTATCTATCCAATTTTCTTTTTCGCACTCTAACTTGAGTTTTCCTTATCCAAATTTTATGAAACAGCATATTACACAATGCTAAGAACTGAGTTCGAATTTCTGAGTCACTTGCTGTTCTAGAGTTATGCCCCTTTATAACTTGAAAAATTGCAAATTTTCTCATTTCTGCGCCTTAACTGAAGTGTGCCTCATGCAAATTTTATAATAATAATGATAATGCTAAGCACTGACACAACAGAACTTATCAGAAAACTTATTACTAGAAGAAATAAAAACCAAATAGTGAAAATATGAAAATAATGCACAACACAAAAATACCTAAGACTAGAACAAAAGAACTCTTAAAAAACTAGCAGTGACATCAAATGCTTGTAAAAAGTGTTTTCACGTATTATAGGCAGGCTTGAATGGCGGCATCCTTTTCCATAGACAAATTCTTCTTTTTTTCAAATAAGATGACCAGAAGCTAATTGTAAATTTAAAATGTGATTTATAAATTCCAAATTTTGAACAGTGAATTGCAATATGTTTGAACTCTAGTCTGTTCTTTGCATCAATTGGAGAAGCAATTTTCTTAAAAAATAACTGCATTTAAGAGAACAAAAATTTTCGAAGTGGAAATTATTTACAAGTTTTATAATGAATTGCTTGCTAATGCAAGGGATTTCCAATGAAATGTTGTCTTTTTTTTTTTAATATTGTCTTTTTTGAGACTTCACAGACTTTTCAGTCAAAATCAAAATAGAGAATAGATTTCAACTCATTCATATTTTTTGCTTCTTTCTAAAGCATTTCAAAGTCGAAACTACTATTCACTGGAAAAATTCCAAAATATCTCAAAATCCAAAGTACCATCAACTAGAAATACGAGAACATTAATTTTTCCTTCTTTATTTTAATAGTTTTACAACCTCTTTGCTCCAGTAGAATCATCTGTTTACAAGTTACAGCTCAGCTCAGGGGTCAAAGGTCATCCTAGCAGGATCATCGCTTCTACTGAGGTATGAAAGTCTTATATAATTGGATAATTAGTGGTGACATATCTTGTACAAGTTTTTGTTTGGAAACCCTTAAGTAAAGCTAGTTTGAAAATGCAGTTTATATCAATGTATAAGTTAACAATTTAAGCATCATTACAATATTAAGAAGCTATGTTTGTCAGTAAGATGGTCATCCTGTTGAAAATGAACTATCTGACAATAAACTATTGAAAGATAGTTTTGAACTGTAAGTTCCCTACAATAGACAATCAAAACTAAAAGATATCCCAGCTGCATATTTGGCATCAGTAAAATAACATTTATTCTTAATTTTACAGGATGGCTCTGTGAGATTATTTTCTCCTGTTACTGGGGCAACACTGACTATCATCTATCCAATGCCAACCTTTCAGGTAAGTTGAGTAATGAATCTAAAAAGGGTAACATAAATAAAGATAACAAAAAAATGTTTGAAATTAATTTTAATTTGATTTATTTGGGGAAACAGAGATGAGACAGCCACTTAACAATAATTGTAAATGGAAAAAAACTCAAGTTTTTAAACATAATCCCTCATCAGCACATTTTACCATCATTACAGTCTTTCTGGTACCCATTATTTTTCTTCTTTTACCTTCTTAGTAATGTTTTCTTCCCTCTTGGGAACATGCTAATATTACTACATAGGGAAAAAAATCTTGGATCTATTTTTTTGTGACAGTACTCGAGAATAAGTTGAGATATTTTACTTACATCATAGATAACAACCTACATTTACATTTTACCATTTTTGAAAATTCTTATGTGCATGCTCCCTTTAAAGTTTTTGGGATGTATAAGATTCATCCTGTCTTGTCCAACAAACGTTTTGATATTTTTTTGTAATTTAAACCAAACTTTGTCCAATAACAGATTATTGTGTAATCTTTGAAGCATGAAGTTTTTTTTCTGTATTGATAATTTCTTGAACTTATTTTTTTTTATACTATTCAGTATGCAGTATTTTAATACAACTTTGGGCAAACAAAAACTGGAAGTAAGGTGGTGTTTAATTAAGTCACACAGACTTGAATAACTTGGGACTAACAAACTCAGGAATCGAGGAGGTATTTTGTTAGAGTCACTCAGCCAGTTCTACATGTAGAATTATTTTAACTTTTTTTTGTCATGCACTGTTGGTATGATTAAGATGATCAACTAATTTGCCGTTCTGTTTGATCGGCATTCTGTATTATTTCAGGTACTGTCATGCTTTGCTTATAGTCGAGAGAAAAACAGACTTCACTCAGTCTTACAAAATGGAGAAGGTATGTGGTATTCACATTTCCTGTATAAAAAATTAAAATGACATGTAACAAAGGATAGAATGGATTAAATGCCTGTATTTATTCAAATTCTTTTCAGTTGTAATATAAGGTATTTAAAATTGATCCATTCAAGGGAGATAATTTATAAGTTTTCCTGGAAGTTTGCATTGAAAATGTTTTATTTTTGGCATACTAAGCTTTTGGTAAGATTATTCCTTCTCCTTAGAATTAGCAAAATACAAGAAAATTGTATTGTTCTGTCATTTTTTTTAATTTTAAATGTAAATCTGGAGCTGATTTTTTTTATATTTGTGTATAATATGATGACTTGCAGGTCGAGTTTGCATTTCTTTCGAGATTAGACTGCAGGTTTGGACATTCAATTCATACTAAGTCATCTTGTTTTATTTCAATTAAAATGAACATTCAGAGAGACAATTGTTCTGTTATTTTCAGTGTTGCTATTTAATTGTGATACAAATCCATGTAAAGCTGTAGAAGTCTGGATCCCACAAACAACTGATGAGGAAGTCTTACAGATAGTACAGTTAACTCTTGTAGGTATCAGTTAGATTCAATCTAGAAGTTTTCAATGATACCAAAAAATACTATAATAGAATTACAGTAAACCAACTTATTTTCGCAGATTCTTTATTTCGCGTTTAACCTTTAAGTCACAGCTATTTAATTTTGCAATTTTCAAATTTACTTGATATAGTTAAATAAGAAAAGGCCTAAATTATACATTTTCGCGTCAATTAATATTTGTGTTATTTTTCTACTCTTAGAGAGTCACTAAAATAAATTGCTAGCGAAATTTACAGTATTGTGTGAAAAATACAACTAGTAGCAAAAACATAGATGACACCCACCCATAGTTGGGAGTTGGAAGTGCCTTCCCTGGGACCCATGTATGTTTTTATTGAACAGCCCTAATGCTCTTCTGACTTATAGTATTTTTTTAATTTCACCTAACTACATCATTAATTGTAATGATCTTCTTGTTTAAAATAAGTGTTTATTTCATGACAGGCTTATGAGAAGGAAGAGGCCATTGTCACAGATACAGTTATTCTGGGAGGGATGCGCAATGGTCAGGTAATGTTGAAATTTTTTTTTAGGTAAAAATGCTCTTGATTGCAAAGGAAAATTTAGATTTAAAATAATGAAAATCATTTATATTTATTTCTTCCAATCTTTTACTTTATAAATTTTATCAAAATGGATTTTAGCTCGAATATTAATAATATTTGAGTAGTAAACGACTGTTAAAGAATTTTTATGACATTGCTTGAGAAGCGGAAGATTTTTTTCTGACCTAAATGCTTTCTTCACTTTTCAGATTTGCTTGTTGGAAGCTGCACAGTCTGTAATGATAAAAAATGTCCAAGCTCATGTTGGTACCATCACCTGCATGGAAGGAGCTACAGATATTGGGATGACTGGTTTCAAACTACTCGAGACCAATAGAAAAATGGCAACAGGTGGTGATGATCTTTTCATCAAAATCTGGGAGATAGGTGTCAAGGCAGGGCAATTGTTTGACAGTATTTTTATACAGCTTTTGATAAAGGTATGGATACCAGACATCTGGATAAGGTATTCTGATAAAAATTATAATCACAAGTTCCAGTCAGATTAAAACTGAATAGATATAGTCCCTCCTTATGACCAACTCTCCCACACCGAAGGCCTCAACACTTTATACCATAAAATATATCACAAATCCAGGAATTTTATTGGTGCTCTCTGGATGAAAGATCCAATCAGCTGGTAGCTTAATCTTATCGAGATTTGTATATCCGCAGCTTATTCTGAAAATAATAAATTGATGATTTTTCATTGACTAGGCCTTCAGTTTTTATGTATCCAACTTTCCAAGGTAGAGCAGTTGAATGTAACAACTGTATTATTCTGGTTAAGTCTGGTTAAAAATTTTGCAGAAGGAAAGATTTAATTGATAAATAACTCTTTAAGTATACCCTTGGTTACTGAAGGTGGGGTAAATAATAATTGTGTGGTCTTGTCTATCTGGGTTATATTTTTAAAAGAGTACACCAAAAGGTTTTGATTGGTTTTCAGCATCTTAAACAATGGTGTATTTATTTTGGTATACAACCAAATAACCCACAATCCTATACATTGTTAATTCAATGGTGAATTCCTCGCTGGTTGTTTAAACTGTATCAGGCAAATTGATTATGATTAAATAAATATAGATTTGACCGCTGCATCGTGTGTGATACAATATTACTCCACAGAAAAACAGTTAAATTTTCAATTGCTTATTGTACTCTATTGTCCGCACCCCTTCTGGCAGGTTAAGTTTTGGAGAATAAAACCATGGACTATACAAGCCTTTTAACGGTAACAACTTTCTCAGGGATCCTTAGATGCCCTTATACAAGACAAAATTTCTTTCCTTATCCAACATAATCTCATTTTCCAGTGGCAGTGAAATTGTTTTGGGTATTTATTTAAAACTTTAAATTGATAAAAAAAAAGAAGAAACAAATATATTGAGAATAAAAGAAAAAACAAATTTATATTTGAAATAAAAGGAAGATATCAGACAATAGTTCAAAGAATATATTTTTTTTCTTTCTAGATACCATGTGTTGGGATGCCAGAACACATATGTATGTATGAGAACACAATAAGTGTGTCAACATCTGATGATTCAGACAAGGGGTAAGTTTTAATATATAGTGATGTTCAGATGGCTCAATATTGGATGATTTAAACAAAAATAAATGAAAAAACAATTATTTTTGTTAAAGAATGACAAATTTTGAAATTTTGAGAAACATTCTGACTTGTGCTTGAATGTAAAAAATAATTGTTGAGGGGCCTGATGGGGGGGGGGGGGGGGGGGGTCTCATCACGATTCACGAGTTGATTTTTATGTCAATCACGATTCTCAGAAAATAAATTTCCATGATCACGGATCACGAAAATATAAAAAAAAAAAAAATCTGTAGAAAAACGGACCACGATAGCGAAAATGCGCCGATCACGAAGAACGAAAATAACCCATCAGGCCCCTCATTGTTATAAAAATTATGCAATTCAAAATTGATATACAATGTGAAAATTGTAATAATTTCGGAGGGACGTAGGTCGTTAAAAATCTTAGATGTTAAGAAATTGATTCCTTTTGTCAAAGAGTATTTGTTGTCCACTTTTTACGAAAGGACTGTCAAAATAATTGAATTTACCAACATTTTGTATTGATAAAAGGTCAGACTATGAATAAATTCTTAGTATAATGATATAAGAAATTTTGTACCTCATGAATATGAATTGCTGTGCTTGCTGTGCTTGCATCAGTATTAATTATTTGTTTTTGTGCCTCAAACAAAAATGTGATAGCAGGGCCAGTGCTGACATCAGTTTTCTTCTTGTTTAGCCTAATCAGTTTAATTGTTTAACAGCAAGTTGCACATGTATAGATTGGATGGACAGGAAAGTAAAGAAATACAGATCACAACACTTCAACACACACAAGACGAAGATCACACTGAACATGTTAGTATCATATACAAGTCTCAACTCAAAACACACATGACAAAAGCAACTCTGAACTTGTTTGTTAAACATACAAAACACAACACACTAATGCACATGCATGAAATAATGATTTAAATATTCACAGGATATGGATTACATGCAACATGTACTTAAACATTCATTTTGTTCTATAAACAACACTTCAGCACACCCTGGACAAAGAATGCATTAAATATGTCGATATTAAATTCATCAAACCGAAAAGGATATGAATCGGTTGAACTTTAGTACACATGCTCTTTATGATGTCAACTTTGACCCAGATCTCGAGGTTCATTGAACACTGATAGTGTGTCCTGCAGACACATAATGACATGTACTTCATTAGGGTTATTACAGGAAAACATATTTGGGAGAGTTGGACATATTTTATTTTTTTCTGTGGATATTTAATAGGGATGGAAGCAAATACAATTCTGTTAAGAATAAAAATAAGAATTATGAGTGGTGGAGTATTTAATAGATATTGTCAACACACCCCTCCCCCTAAATACATTTTTGCCTGGAATAACCCATATTGAGTTTACAACTATTGTTTAATTAAGTCTCCCAAACGAAGTTTGGGAAGACTTATTGTTTTTGCTTAGTTATTATTATTATTATTCTTCTTCCTCTTCCTCTTCCGCTGCTTTTAAATTTGAACTTGTCCGCACCCGTTCTCCAAAACCGCTTGTCAGATTAACTTAGGGTTTCACAATATGTTAGACTAACATGTCTAGTGGTGCAATCAGGGTTTTGTTTGTGGAATAGGGTTTATAAAGGGGTACTTTGAGGGGCAAAAAGAAAGGAGGGTTTTACTATAGAACCCTATGGGATTTTATTTTTTAAAATTTTCAAATGATTATAAATTGAAAACCGTTTGTGATAGACACAATCTTTTTTATTGAAAATGTTCTAAATGATAAAGCACATTAAATGAAATACAGGGTTAGTCCCCAGGGGTCACCCCCACCCCCTGCCATTTAAGAAAGTTCTAATACCTTGTAAGTGGTCAATATCCCCACCCCTAAACCATATATATTCTGGTTTGTCATGCTAAGATGGTTTGAATGATATACAGGGTTAGTCCCCAGGGGTCATCCCGACCCCCTGCCATTTGAGAAAGTTCTAATATCTTGTAAATGGTCGAGATCCCCACCCCTAAACCATATATATTCCTGTTCGTCATGTCTCGAACATTTGAATGACATATAGGGTCAGTCTCCAGGGGTTCCCCCCACCCCCAATGTTTTAGTATCTTGTAAACGGTCGAGATCCCCACCCCTAAACCATACTTATTCTGGTTTGTCATGCGAAGATGGTTTGAATGATATACAGGGTTAGTCCCCAGGGGTCATCCCGAACCCCTGCCATTTGAGAAAGTTCTAATATCTTGTAAATGGTCGAGATCCCTACCCCTAAACCATATATATTCCTGTTCGTCATGTCTCGAACATTTGAATGACGTATAGGGTCAGTGCCCAGGGGTTCCCCCCACCCCCAATGTTCTAGTATCTTTTAAATGGTTGAGATCCCCACCCCTAAACCATATATATTCTGGTTTGTCATGCCAAGATGATTTGAATGATATACAGGGTTAGTCCCCAGGCATCACTAATGCATATAACTTTACTGGACCAAACCTTTTTTCACTGGACTTTGCCCAATGTCAGGCGACCCTGGGAATTACGAATTATGGGAGCTTCGTTTGGGAGACTTCGTAACAGCATCCTGTTACAATCATTTCTTGTTATTATTATTATTCTTTTTCTTCTTCTTCTTCCTCTTCCGCCGCTTTTAAATTTGAACTTGTCTGCACCCGTTCTCCAAAACCGCTTGTCAGATTAATTTAGGGTTTCACAATATGTTAGACTAACATGTCTAGTGGTGCAATCAGGGTTTTGTTTGTGCAATGGGGTTTATAAAGGGGTACTTTGAGGGGCAAAAAGAAAAGAGGGTTTTACTATAGAACCCTATGGGATTTTATTTTTTTAAATTTTCAAATGATTATAAATTGAAAACCGTTTGTGATAAGACACAATCTTTTTAATTGAAAATGTTCTAAATGATAAAGCCCATTAAATGAAATACAGGGTTAGTCCCAAGGGGTCACCCCCACCCCCTGCCATTTAAGAAAGTTCTAATACCTTGTAAGTGGTCAATATCCCCACCCCTAAACCATATATATTCTGGTTTGTCATGCTAAGATGGTTTGAATGATATACAGGGTTAGTCCCCAGGGGTCATCCCGACCCCCTGCCATTTGAGAAAGTTCTAATATCTTGTAAATGGTCGAGATCCCCACCCCTAAAACATATATATTCTGGTTTGTCATGATAAAGCACATCAAATGAAGTACAGGGTTAGTCCCCAGGGGTCACCCCCACCCCATGCCATTTAAGAAAGTTCAAATATCTTGTAAGCAGTCAAGATCCCAACCCCTAAACCATATATATTCTGGTTTGTCATGCAAAGATGGTTTGAATGATATACAGGGTTAGTCCCCAGGGGTCATCCCGACCCCCTGCCATTTGAGAAAGTTCTAATATCTTGTAAATGGTCAAGATCCCCACCCCTAAACCATATATATTCTGGTTTGTCATGATAAAGCACATCAAATGAAATACAGGGTTAGTCCCCAGGGGTCACCCCCAACCCATGCCATTTAAGAAAGTTCTAATATCTTGTAAGTGGTCAAGATCCCCACCCCTAAACCATATATATTCTGGTTTGTCATACAAAGATGGTTTGAATGATATACAGGGTTAGTCCCCAGGGTTCATCCTGACCCCCTGCCATTTGAGAAAGTTCTAATATCTTGTAAATGATCGAGATCCCCACCCTTAAACCATATATATTCTGGTTTGTCATGATAAAGCACATCAAATGAAATATAGGGTTAGTCCCCAGGGGTCACCCCTACCCCATGCCATTTAAGAAAGTTCTAATATCTTGTAAGTGGTCAAGATCCCCACCCCTAAACCATATTTATTCTGGTTTGTCATGCAAAGATGGTTTGAATGATAAACAGGGTTAGTCCCCAGGGGTCATCCCGACCCCCTGCCATTTGAGAAAGTTCTAATATCTTGTAAATGATCGAGATCCCCACCCCTAAACCATATATATTCCTGTTCGTCATGTCTCGAACATTTGAATGACATATAGGGTCAGTCTCCAGGGGTTCCCCCCACCCCCAATGTTTTAGTATCTTGTAAACGGTCGAGATCCCCACCCCTAAACCATACTTATTCTGGTTTGTCATGCGAAGATGGTTTGAATGATATACAGGGTTAGTCCCCAGGGGTCATCCTGAACCCCTGCCATTTGAGAAAGTTCTAATATCTTGTAAATGGTCGAGATCCCTACCCCTAAACCATATATATTCCTGTTCGTCATGTCTCGAACATTTGAATGACGTATAGGGTCAGTGCCCAGGGGTTCCCCCCACCCCCAATGTTCTAGTATCTTTTAAATGGTTGAGATCCCCACCCCTAAACCATATATATTCTGGTTTGTCATGCCAAGATGATTTGAATGATATACAGGGTTAGTCCCCAGGCATCACTAATGCATATAACTTTACTGGACCAAACCTTTTTTCACTGGACTTTGCCCAATGTCAGGCGACCCTGGGAATTACGAATTATGGGAGCTTCGTTTGGGAGACTTCGTAACAGCATCCTGTTACAATCATTTCTTGTTATTATTATTATTCTTTTTCTTCTTCTTCTTCCTCTTCCGCCGCTTTTAAATTTGAACTTGTCTGCACCCGTTCTCCAAAACCGCTTGTCAGATTAATTTAGGGTTTCACAATATGTTAGACTAACATGTCTAGTGGTGCAATCAGGGTTTTGTTTGTGCAATGGGGTTTATAAAGGGGTACTTTGAGGGGCAAAAAGAAAAGAGGGTTTTACTATAGAACCCTATGGGATTTTATTTTTTTAAATTTTCAAATGATTATAAATTGAAAACCGTTTGTGATAAGACACAATCTTTTTAATTGAAAATGTTCTAAATGATAAAGCCCATTAAATGAAATACAGGGTTAGTCCCAAGGGGTCACCCCCACCCCCTGCCATTTAAGAAAGTTCTAATACCTTGTAAGTGGTCAAGATCCCCACCCCTAAACCATATATATTTTGGTTTGTTATGCTAAGATGGTTTGAATGATATACAGGGTTAGTCCCCAGGGGTCATCCCGACCCCCTGCCATTTGAGAAAGTTCTAATATCTTGTAAATGGTCGAGATCCCCACCCCTAAACCATATATATTCTGGTTTGTCATGATAAAGCACATCAAATGAAATACAGGGTTAGTCCCCAGAGGTCACCCCTTCCCCATGCCATTTAAGAAAGTTCTAATATCTTGTAAGTGGTCAAGATCCCCACCCCTAAACCGTATTTATTCTGGTTTGTCATGCAAAGATGGTTTGAATGATAAACAGGGTTAGTCCCCAGGGGTCATCCCGACCCCCTGCCATTTGAGAAAGTTCTAATATCTTGTAAATGATCGAGATCCCCACCCCTAAACCATATATATTCCTGTTCGTCATGTTTCGAACATTTGAATGACGTATAGGGTCAGTCTCCAGGGGTCCCCCCACCCCCAATGTTTTAGTATCTTGTAAACGGTCGAGATCCCCACCCCTAAACCATACTTATTCTGGTTTGTCATGCGAAGATGGTTTGAATGATATACAGGGTTAGTCCCCAGGGGTCATCCCGAACCCCTGCCATTTGAGAAAGTTCTAATATCTTGTAAATGGTCGAGATCCCTACCCCTAAACCATATATATTCCTGTTCGTCATGTCTCGAACATTTGAATGACGTATAGGGTCAGTCCCCAGGGGTTCCCCCCCACCCCCAATGTTCTAGTATCTTTTAAATGGTTGAGATCCCCACCCCTAAACCATATATATTCTGGTTTGTCATGCCAAGATGATTTGAATGATATACAGGGTTAGTCCCCAGGCATCACTAATGCATATAACTTTACTGGACCAAACCTTTTTTCACTGGACTTTGCCCAATGTCAGGTGACACTGGGAATTACGAATTATGGGAGCTTCGTTTGGGAGACTTCGTAACAGCATCCTGTTACAATCATTTCTTGTTATTATTATTATTCTTTTTCTTCTTCTTCTTCCTCTTCCGCCGCTTTTAAATTTGAACTTGTCCGCACCCGTTCTCCAAAACCGCTTGTCAGATTAATTTAGGGTTTCACAATATGTTAGACTAACATGTCTAGTGGTGCAATCAGGGTTTTGTTTGTGCAATGGGGTTTATAAAGGGGTACTTTGAGGGGCAAAAAGAAAAGAGGGTTTTACTATAGAACCCTATGGGATTTTATTTTTTTAAATTTTCAAATGATTATAAATTGAAAACCGTTTGTGATAAGACACAATCTTTTTAATTGAAAATGTTCTAAATGATAAAGCCCATTAAATGAAATACAGGGTTAGTCCCAAGGGGTCACCCCCACCCCCTGCCATTTAAGAAAGTTCTAATACCTTGTAAGTGGTCAAGATCCCCACCCCTAAACCATATATATTTTGGTTTGTTATGCTAAGATGGTTTGAATGATATACAGAGTTAGTCCCCAGGGGTCATCCTGACCCCCTGCCATTTGAGAAAGTTCTAATATCTTGTAAATGGTCGAGATCCCCACCCCTAAACCATATATATTCTGGTTTGTCATGATAAAGCACATCAAATGTAATACAGGGTTAGTCCCCAGGGGTCACCCCGCCCCCTGCCATTTAAGAAAGTTCATTATCTTCTAAGTGGTCAAGATCCCCACCCCTAAACCATATATATTCTGGTTTGTCATGCTAAGATGGTTTGAATGATATACAGGTTTAGTCCCCAGGGGTCATCCCGACCCCCTGCCATTTGAGAAAGTTCTAATATCTTGTAAATGGTCGAGATCCCCACCCCTAAACCATATATATTCTAGTTTGTCATGATAAAGCACATCAAATGAAATACAGGGTTAGTCCCCAGGGGTCACCCCCAACCCCTGCCATTTAAGAAAGTTCTAATATCTTCTAAGTGGTCAAGATCCCCACCCTAAACCATATATATTCTGGTTTGTCATGTGAAGATGGTTTGAATGATATACAGGGTTAGTCCCCAGGGGTCATCCCGACCCCCTGCCATTTGAGAAAGTTCTAATATTTTGTAAATGGTCGAGATCCCCACCCCTAAACCATATATATTCCTATTTGTCATGTCTCGAACATTTAAATGACATATACGGTCAGTCCCCAGAGGTTCCCCCCACCCCCAATGTTCTAATATCTTGTAAATGGTTGAGATCCCCACCCCTAAACCATATATATTCCTGTTCATCATGTAATGAATATTTGAATGACGTATAGGGCCAGTCCCCAGGGGTTCCTCCCCACCCCCAATGTTCTAGTATTTTGTAAATGGTCGAGATCCCCACCCCTAAACCATATATATTCTAGTTTTTCATGATAAAGCACATCAAATGAAATACAGGGTTAGTCCCCAGGGGTCACCCCCACCCCCTGCCATTTAAGAAAGTTCTAATATCTTCTAAGTGGTCAAGATCCCCACCCCTAAACCATATATATTCTCGTTTGTCATGCGAAGATGGTTTGAATGATATACGAGGTTAGTCCCCAGGGGTCATCCCGACCCCCTGCCATATGAGAAAGTTCTAATATCTTGTAAATGGTTGAGATCCCCACCCCTAAACCATATATATTCCTATTTGTCATGTCTCGAACATTTGAATGTCGTATACGGTCAGTGCCCAGGGGTTCCCCCCACCCCCAATGTTCTAATATCTTGTAAATGGTTGAGATCCCCACCCCTAAACCATATATATTCCTGTTTGTCATGTAATGAACATTTGAATGACGTATAGGGCCAGTCCCCAGGGGTTCCTCCCCACCCCCAATGTTCTAGTATATTGTAAATGGTTGAGATGCCCACCCCTAAACCATATATATTCTGGTTTGTCATGCCAAGATGATTTGAATGATATACAAGGTTAGTCCCCAGGCATCACTAATGCATATAACTTTACTGGACCAAACCAATTTTCACTGGATGTTGCCCAATGTCAGGCGACCCTGGGAATTACGAATTATGGGAGCTTCGTTTGGGAGACTTCGTAACAGCATCCTGTTACAATCATTTCTTGTTATTTAATAGATTCATGTATGTGGATCTCTTTTTATGCCTCACCTAGGGGCACTATGATTTTCGGTGTGTGCATCCGTTTGTTTGACCATCCATCCGTCCGTCTGTCCCGCTTCAGGTTAATGTTTTTGGTCAAGGTAGTTTTTGATGAAGTTGAAGTCCAATCAACTTGAAACTTAGTACAAATGATATGATCTTTCTAATTTTAATGCCAAATTAGAGTTTTGACCCCAATTTCACAGTCCACTGAACATAAAAATTGATAGTGTGAGTGGTGTATCCTTGTACTATGGACACATTCTTATTTTTTCTTTTTTCAACAGAATCATGTCTAGATTTAAGCAAAGGTTTTTAAAGCAATTGCTTTTATGCCATCGTGTATGGCCATCTTTGTGACGCAAATCAGAGACTCCGCCCAGATCAAGCCATAGTATTTTGTTAAACAGGCTCCTGGTCTGTCATTCTTAAACACCCATGTATGTTTTCTAATGTAATACATAGCTTGAAACTTTTGAAAAACATTAGTGGATTTAAGAGGTTTCAGCATATGTTCTTGTAGATGTATTTTTATATTTAGGGGGACAACTGTTTGACTATCAAAAAACATAGAAGTCCGAGTGAAAAAAAGTGCACTTTTATACCTGCGATTCCGTTCTCCTTTCGTACGATGTTTCAACAAAATATCGAATCATTTCAGTTGTTGATTTAGTATTGAAAATTTACTGAATTATCTCTTTTTAAATACGGTTTTATATGTTTAATTGGTGTTTCTCTAAGAAAGAGGTCAGGTGCTCTTGTTCTTTCATAAAATTATCGTTCATTCATAAATTTATCGTAAAATCAAAATCACTACACAGGTTATACGTAGTGTCAAATGATTACCTGTAATCTAAAAATAGATAAACTTAACTGACCTCTTTTGTTGATTTGTTTGCGCAAATAATTTAGCGGAACGAAACCCTTGTTAAAAACACATAACAATAAGTTCGTTTTCCTTTTTTGTCATAACTCCGTAAGATTTATCGATCACCTTACTAATGAAATGGACCCGTCAAAACGTGATAGATGCCAAGTCCAGATGAAGAGATATTTACAATTTGGAATTTTCTAGTTGCATAGATTGAAAAAAAGTACGTCCTTTTGGATATCATAATCAAAACTGGGTATGCATGACAAATGATGAAACCATTATCCTCGTCTTTCCAGTGGACGAGTCTACTACATGTGTTGACACTCGACGGTCCACCATGTTTGCAGTTTTATTTCACATGTTTTCGAATTATTGAAGATCATTTTTCGCAATGTTTCCTGAAAATTGATAAATATCAAAGCAACGAAGAGCTGTTTGTTCTTGTTCGTATAATGACGATTTAATGTCATGTTTGTCTGTGATGACCCCCCTTTTCGGGATTGCATGAGAATTATAGTTATCTCGTACCGCATGAGGATGACACATATCAACTGAGCAATAATGTTTGGGAGTTAGTTTTAAGAAATGAAGACAAAGTAACATGAAAATATTTTTAGTAAGCTGAAATATATATTTATTTTTTACATGTTTATGTCTTGTAAGATATTTTATTTCTTTCCCGTTTTTCAACATTTGCGTCTGGAAAGTTGAAATGTTTTAATTGAATGGTTAAATTTAAATTAATTATGATAATTGTTAAAATTAAATCAATAAAGGAAATTATTGTCCAGTTACAAACACTACCAGGGGATAATTTCTTTTTGAGTTATATGTTTCAGCACATGTAAATTTGACCCCAACTTTAGCCTGGTAAACGTGTTGTCTCCTTGTGGAATATAAAACATATCAAAAATGACTTTCTGCTAAAGTCTTTTATTGATATAAAGTTAAAACCTTCTTACTTCTCACTAGACAACACTCCTGTCAGGTTTAATTCTTATATACATGTATATGTGGATGAAAAGGTCCCCAAAACATTAACATGGCAGCAATTGCTTTTACAGCCTTTAAGGCTTTGATTGTAAATAAACCAAATGAATAAAGTAATTTTATTTTAAGATAACTGCTATTGATAAATGCCCTCTACTGGGACTGTTTGCTACTGCTAGTGAAGATGGTTATATTAAGGTAAGTGATTGTAAAATGGTGGAATAAGAAGAGGGATATTGGATCATTTGTACAATTCTTTTGACAAACTATTATAAGGGAAACTCATGTTGTTCAGAAATTTTGACCATTGTGATTAGAGAAAAAACGATATGCATTCATGTCAAAATACATATAGTTTTATTGTAAGCTTTATTTAGTTGAAAAATAGCATTCTGAAATATTTTCCTCATTTCCTCAATCTTAATATAAAAATAAGAAGATGTGGTATAATTGTCAACGAGACAACTCTCCACAAGAGACCAAATGACACAGAAATTAACAAATATAGGTCACCAAACGGCCTTCAAAAATGAGCAAAACCCATACAGCATAGTCAGCTATAAAAGGCCCCGAAATGACAAATGTAAAACAATTCAAACGAGAAAACTAACGGCTTAATTTATGTACAAAATAATGAACGAAAAACAAATGTGATACACAGAAATTAAACAAACGACATCCACTGAATTACAGGCTCCTGACTTGGAACAGGCACATACATACAGAATGTGGCGGGGTTAAACATGTTAGCGGGCGCCCAACCCTCCCCTAACCTGGGACAGTGGTGTAACAGTACAACATAAGAACAAACTATAAAAATCAGTTGAAAAAGGCTTAACTCATCAGATGGATACATTTTGTACATGGGAAGACTCTTAGAGATTCTGACCAACAATGTACTTTTATAAAGTTTTTAGCAAATAAATGATTTATAATTGTACAGATTTGGAATCGTCACAACCAGTTGATCCGAGAGATGGGATTTGGTGAACCTATGCATGGTCTGTGTTTTGCCAACGTTAGAGGAGATATATTGATAGGATTTCAAAACCATATCTGGTAAGTTCTTACACAGTCAAGTCTGTTGTTTTAGCTCATCAAATTAAGTATTGACTGCTTTCTTACTTACTTCATCTAAATTAGATATAAAATTCTAATGCCTGTATTTAGAAACTTTTGCCATGATTTTATGATTGTAAAAAAAAAAGCAAAAAGATAGTTTTCACAAAAAAACAAAACTTGCATTTTAGATTTTGATAACAGTATTTGTATGAAGCATTTCCAGAAATGTTTATAATTAAATTTCATCTATTTGTCTATTATTCCTGAATCCCAATAAAAAAAATGCACCCAATACTTTCATAATTTACAGCATTCTTATGGTCCATGTTTGACAAACATATTCTATATTTTTCCTAATAAGTACATTTACATCACGTACATAATAGCACAAGGCATAAATGAAATGAATTAGTAAATAACTGATTACGATATCAGGTTACGTGCATTTAAATGTTTCTTTGTTGGTTAAATCAGATAAGGTGACTGATAGACACCTATCAGTCAAATTGATCAATCAGTTTAAATATCTAATTGTAATCAGTAGATTTATATATGTTATTTTGATATGAAATGTCAGAACTACACACAGTTCAAATATATCGTAGAATATTGTTTATAATTGTCTAAGACTGCAGAGAGAATTTGAGTTCTCTTAACCACTGTGTATGTCCAAACACTATAGATTTTGCAAATAACTGGTACTTAATGGCCCATTCATCTAACATTTACAGATCTGGGTTATATATCATCTAAAGTTTAAACTGTCTGCACACTCGCATCAATCTTTTTTTATGGTTTACATGTTGCTTTTTAATTTCTGGTTATTAACATATTGAAAATGTTTTTTTGGTTATTTTGTACTTATTATATCACTGGTAATGTGTTCAGAAATCATTTTAACATTTTAAAGCTTTTAAAGAAACATATTTTTCCACAGAAATACTGCAAATGAACACTACATGGGTGTTTTTTCAAGTGACGAACAAAAATTCATGTATTTTCTGTCATGGGGGATACATAAAATGCAGTGTTCTAAATTGGTCTTTATATTTAAGGAGAACATTTAGAAATTTATCAATATTAAGATGATATAAACATATTTATTGTGTATTATTTTCAATGCAATCACAAGACAAAAAATGTTTACATATGAGCTGTGTCGCAAAGAAATTGACATTATGCAAATAAACTCACCATAGATACCAAGATTGAAATTTTGTATTTGTGCCAGACGCGTGTTTCGTCTACAAAAGACTCATCAGTGATGCTCGAATAAAAAAAGTTAAAAAGGCTAAATAAAGTACGAAGTTGAAGAGCATTGAGGACCAAAAATTCCTAAAAGTTTTGCTAAATACAGCTAAGGTAATCTATTCCTGAGGTAGGAAAGCTTTAGTATTTCAAAAATTCAAAGTTTTGTAAACAGTGCAAATGCAAGTATAAGACTTGGATTGATTTTGGAACATTCAAATACGAAATAAAAGATAAATTTTTGTCTGTTTTGTATGGTTCTTATAACAACTCAATTTTGAAACAGTTCCAGACTTTCTATAGAGATTTTTTCAAACCGAAATAGGTTAACAGAAGTGTTGATATTCATTTGCATAAGGTCGATTTCTATCCGACGCAGCTTATATATTGTTTTTATGAAATTTAATCATTTCAAAACTTGAATTTAAAATAGTTGATGAGATTTGCATAGTAAATTTAAACTCACTGTATTACTAGTATTTCTTGTTTTAGGAATGTGGGTTGGGTGGGGATTTTGTTACAGTTCTAATGGATACAGTTTACTAATAAATGTACATATTTGTTTTAATATTTTATTCAAATTACAAGAATAAAGTTTATAGCTTGTTAACAGTAGGGTGAATGTTTGAAAAAAAAAATTGTTGGATTTTCAGTTTAAGGGAAGACTGATTATTTTCTTGAAATCAGGTTAGATGGTCATTTATTGTAAAATATGATATTTTCAACAATTTTTAGTGATAAATATAGAATTGTATAACTAATATTTTATCGTTTTCAAGGACTAATTCATTAGAGTTAGAGGTAAGATGCATGCAATTAATATTTAAAATGGTGGTTAGTAGTTTAGTATTGTGTTTCAAATTGTACAATTACTTAAGCATTGCATATATGCAGCCAGAGGTCAAAGTGTTTCATCACTCAAAAAATACACTATATATTTCATATAAAAATTTTTTTATGAAAAAATGTTCTTAAGTTAATCCGATTTGATTAAAATTTTACCAATAAATACAGAAATATCTGCAGTTTCTTTCATTAATTTTGAAATGTTGTTATACCGTGTAAATTAATCTTTTAAAGAAATCACTGTTTTAATGACAAATCAGAATTCTTGCACGATAAAAAATGTATGAGTATATCAAACAAATTTCAATATTTTTGTTTAAAATATTGATTTCACAGTAACTACACATTATTGAAATATTTTATTATAACCATAAAATATTGTAAATATTTATGAGCTTGACACTAAAACTTTATCAAAATCAGACCTGAAATAACATTTTGGTAAAAAAATAATGAAATATGTATGAGTATAATTTTTAATTGGTGGAACACTCTTGACCTCTGACTGTATATTTGGGTTCCTCATAGCTTTTATAGATTGATAATGTTGATTAATTTATTGACCCAATACTTTTCAATACTGTAAATCCAGAAATTATTGCGTGCATTTATTATTGCGATATTTGAAGAATGGACAAAAATGCGAGATAAATTAATGCGATTTCAGGAAAATCTGCCTACAGATATTCATATAAGATATGAGACTGCGAGTTCTTATTATTGCGATACTCAACTAGTTACATTATTGGCATTAATAAAAACCTCGCAATAATTTCTGAATCTACAGTATTTCTGAATATTTATTTTACTCCATAGTTTTTTTTTGTCAAGGAAACAAATGAAAAATTGGACTTATTGTATAAAATTAGTTATGGAATTTATCTGCTAAAAAAATAAATCCTCAAAATGAATCCGCTTTCTATCGATCTGGAAATGAACCAAAATGTATCGGGTAGAGGATTGATTTTCTGCGGATTCATTTATTTTTGTAGATACCAATTAACGTGGATTGAGGAAAAATTGTGTTTTCATTGATATTTGATTTCATGGTTTGGCCAAAGTCTCCATGCAGACCTATAGAACATTTTTACTTTGTTGTACATTAAAATTGATTAAAATCCACAAAATTGGTATCAAAATGAATAATGATGAATCCACACATAAAACTAAGATAATTAATATATATATTTGAACATGCATGAAATATTTTCCACTGGACATTAAGCAACCAACAATCAATCAATCTGTACCAATTATAAAATATCTGTAGATCTCTTCACAGAAAATCTCATGGTTAAAACTATGGTCTTAGCTTGATTTGAAGGATCCTTAGTGTGCCTGAATTTTAATTTGTTAATTTAAGTCTGATCTATAGGGTTGGAGAATGGCAGATTCTTTCTTTACAATTGACTTAGATCCATATAAAGGCTATTCCATTAAAATGGATGGGGATAGTAGGAAGGGACTTTCAAATTTCCCCTATAAACAACATATTTTGCGTTATTTTGCATACAATAAATGGAATTAGTACCATAAATGACCCCCAATACATGTCCAAAAATTAACTTCATCTCCTACCCTCTGAGATTCATTTAATGGAATAGTCCGATCCTGAGCTATACAGAACCTTTTGAGCCTCTAGTTTCTTTTATTGAAGGAAGAAAGTGATTTAAATCTTTCAATCAGTTTGTTTCACTGTAAAGATACCTTGTTGAAAATTGAGACTGATAGATATACACGTATATGAAAAATGTTTGTTTTGGTGGCTTTAAATTAATTTTTTTAAATTTTATACGTAAATATCATGTTAGTTTGTATTTTGTCCATTAAATTGAATCTACTGTAATTTAGACTAAGATTTGGCTTTTTAGCTTTTATTATCAATTTGAGGTCTGATGTATAACTTGGTAAATAGTTCTTTTTCAGTGTGATAAAGTATATCAAAATGTATTGTCTTTTACAGTACTATTCCCTTGACAAGTTATTTCCCAAAGAATTACTTAGAAAGAATTACAAGACAAGAGTTCAAGGTGAGAAACATACATCAATGGATTTTCAACATTGCCACAGGTTTATTGATCTATCCGTTAATGTTGTTTATTGTAAGATCTGTGGTGATGGGTAGTAAATTTCTACAACACAGTAACCCAGCAACGTTAGCTTTCCAAAAATAGACATTTCACTTTGATTTACTAGTGCCAAAACCTATGGCAAGCTCTGAGTATATGGAATATACCAAACTTCAAAATATATTCTAAAAAATCAATGTCCTTATAAGTTGGCTAGTAATTGGGACTTTAGATTATGAAGTTAATGATAAACAGAAAAAAGGCAGTTTTAAGATCATATGGAAATAATTGCATACTTTTTGCGTGTCCTGTTGTGTTGATTCTCTTTTAATATCGTTTCCTTGATCCGTCCCTGTTAATTATGATGAATTTTAACAGAACTTTACATGTTCATTGCTTTGAATGATATTTTTACAAACTTTATGTGCTTATACATTTGTTATAGATTAAAAAACAAAAAATGTACACACTCACACCAAACTTTTTTTTATGATATACATGTTATTTTTCAATTGCTGGTTAATAACATATTGCAAATGTTTTTTTGGTAATTTTGTATTACATCCACTGGTCATGTGTTCAGAAATCATTTTAACATTTAAAAGCTAATAAAAAAGCATATTTTTCCATAGAAATACTGCAAATGAAGAATTAACTGGTGTTTTTCCAAGTGACGAAAAAACATATATACATTTGTTATAGATTAACAAATATACGCATTTGTTTGGAATGTTTCATGCATGAACTTTGTTTTTCAGGATGAAGTCCGAGAAATTCCTTTAGCTTACAACCATAGAATCAAACCTTGGTATGTACAATTTAGTTAGGCACTTTCTTACTTGTTGAATATTGGTAAACTACTGTTGCCTCAGACTGTACACCCCACCCCATTTAAATGTAGGTCACTGTTGCCTTATTTAAAGATGTATTTTGTGTTTTATGAAGATAATTTTATACATTATTTGAAGTTGTACACTCAAATGCAAAATTTCACTGTATTTTTTATTACTGTGGATTCATTATTATTCGTTGGATACCAATTTTCGTGGATTTCGTGGATACAGGGGAACCACGAATTTAAATGTTCAACGAAATACAAATTTTCTAAAGGAATGTATGCAGACTTTGCCAAAACCACGAAATTAAATATCCACGAATATACAAGTTTTTCTCAATCCACGAAAATAAGTACCCACGAAAATAATTGAATCCACAGTAATAAGCGTAAAGCTAAATGATTTTTTCTTTTTTTTTCATATTAAAACAAGTATGCAAAGATTTGTATATATTTTTATATATTTTACATTTGACCTGTTGGCATGCAAAAAATAAAGGTTCATTAATACTACTTTCAATTGCATTAGCCTGACCACATATGAAACAGCTCTAACATGTTTAACCAAGCCAAATTCTGTATGTGCCTGTCCCAAGACCTTATATAGATTGCTATGCTGTATTGGTTTTGCTCATTGTTGAAGGCCATAGCATGACCTAAAGTTGCTTATATCCAGGTCATTTGGTCTCTGGTGGATAGTTGTCTCATTTGAAATATCTCATTATTTTATACTAATTAGATATTTGTTCTACATTTGTCATTCACAGGTTTGATCCAAAAGCCTTGCCAAAATTTTCTCTATCACTTACTAAAAGAACAGAAGAAAAGAAACCAGTTGAAGAAGAGGACATTTTAGAAGATTTGGAATTAACCCCCAGGGTACCACAGTGTAGTCCTGATATTAAAATTGAGGAAGAATTAGTAAAGCCAGATTTCATAGAAATACCAGCCATCACTAAAAGTTTTCAGGCATCATGTAAGAAACTTTATACTTTTTACCATCTACGATAGTAGAGGGGCATTATGTTTTTCGGTCTGTGTGTCTGTTCGTTCATTTGTCCCGCTTCAGGTTAAAGTTTTTGGTTAAGGTAAGTTTTGACGAAGTTGAAGTCCAATCAATTTGAAACTTAGTACACATGTTCCCTATGATATGATCTTTCTAATTTTAATGCCAAATTAGAGTTCTGACCCCAATTTCACTGTCCACTGAACATAGAAAATTATAGTGCGAGTGGGGCATCCGTGTACTATGGACACATTGTTCTTTTGTTTAAGTTTTTGCTTACTATCTTGGAAAAAAGACATTTGGGTGGCGTCACTTTTACTTTTCTTGAGTTATGTCCCATTATAAATTGAAAAATTGCAAGTGAGGGTATCATCTGTGTCTCCATTAATTTTTTTCTATCTAGATGTTAAAGAAGTTCAAAAGGAAATTTATAAAGAAAAAAAAAAGAAATTAGAACTGACAGGAAAGGAAGAAGAAGAAGGTAAGAACATTTTTGTTCTTCTTTGTTATTTTTGTAGATATCGTACTGTGGATTATTTTCGTTGGTACCAATTTTCGTGGATTGGGAAAAATTTGTATTTTTGTGTATATTTGATTGCATGGTTTCGCAAAAATCTGCATTCAAGCCTAAAGACGATGTGTACGTCATTGAACATATAAATTTGTTTTTCCTTTTTAACAACAAAATCCATGAAAATTGGTATCCCGCAAATAATAATGAATCCACAGTATTACATTTCACAAAGTAATGTGGATTCATTTTTTTTCGTGGGTACCAATTTTCGTGGATTGAAGAACCTTTGTATTTTCGTGGATATTTGATTTCGTGGTTTTGCCAAGGTTGGCATACAAGCCTATAGAAAATTTGTTCTTCATTGAAACATTTAAATTCGTGGTTCACCTGTAACCACGAAATCCATGAAAAGTGGTATCCCACGAATAATAATGACTCCACAGTAATTGTCTTTCAAACTTGTAAAACCCTCCAAAGCCAAAGTAGAAACACACCACACCATACACATCTATTTAAAAATATTTTTAAATACATTGAAACCTGTATATGAAGGTCACCCTTGGGACTAGAGAAAACTGGCCTTACAAGAAAGATAACCTCTGAAATGAGGTTTAGAATGCATAGTTATTACTACAGAGGGACAGCATGAGGGTGACTTGCTAAGACAGTTTTTTTTTCGATAAATATAGCATGAATTTAGGTTTTTATGAAAACATTGCATTGATGGTATCGAAATACTGTTAACTATTTTGGGGGATGTTATCTCTGAAATTGGTTGTGTTTATTTTTTGTTGAATTGACAACAAAACTATCCTAGACTGACATCCTAGTATGCCTCCAACATAAAATGCCTGCCCTTGTTTTTTTTATTATTATGCCATTTAACAGAAAAATGTTTATTTTAAACCTAGTATTGGTTTATTTTGATAAATAATTAAAAAAAGGAATACAAAAAAAGATAAAACAATCTGGTTTTTGGTTATTATTTTTGAAAGAAATAGAATAAGGATCTGGTTATACCTTAACTATGACCATAATTTTGTATTTTTGTATGCTGCTGAAAGAGTGTTCATTAGGGCCCCGTCGAATGGTGCTTCGCCTTATAGTGATCAGTCTGTCTGTCCGTTCCTCCGTCCGTCCGTAACAAATTGTGTCCGCTTTATATTTAGAGAACCATTATAATTTCTTACTTTATACTTGACATGTATATTAACCAACACCAGAGGGTGCGTCATAATGTATGTACAACTTCCTAGGTCAAAGGTCAAGGTAAAAAACTTTGGTTTCAGTTGACAACCCCATGTTCTTTGGTAAAGATCGTGTCCGCTGTATATCTTGAGAACAGTTATGATTTCAAAGTTTATACCAGAGGGTGTGTCATAATGTATGTACAACTTCATAGGTCAGGGTCAAAAACTTTGGTTTTAGTTGACAACCCCATGTCCTATGGTAAAGATCGTGTCCGCTCTATATCTTGAGAACTGTTATGATTTCAAAGTTTATACTTGACATGTATATTAACCAACACCAGAGGGTGTGTCATAATGTATGTACAAGTTCCTAGGTCAAAGGTCAAGGTCAAAAACTTTGGTTTTAAATGACAACTCCATGTCCTATGGTAAAGATCGTGTCCGCTCTATATCTTGAGAACTGTTATGATTTCAAAGTTTATACTTGACATGTATATTAACCAACATCAGAGGGTGTGTCATAATGTATGTACAACTTCCTAGGTCAAAAGTCAAGGTCAAAAACTTTAGTTTCAGTTGACAACCCCATGTCCTATGGTAAAGATACAAATTTTTTACCACACATTATTCACAGCGGGGCCCACAGAGATGGCTCCCATCTCAATGATGTCTAGTTATGTTTTTGTCCTGTTTTTTTTTCAGATTCAGTGTTTGATAGAGGTTATTCAGCTCCAACACCTGTACCTGCTAAAAGAATGAGGATAGAAAAAGCAAGAGAAGAGAGAAGTATGGAATAAGAAACAATTCGTATTACTGTAAATTCACAAATTTTGTGATATATTTATTCCTTAAAAAAACTTTGGACAAGATAAGCAAAACATTTATTGTATATCACCAGACACTGTTTGGCTGTAGAGACATTGAGGTATCAATTCTATCTTCTTTTTCATTGTCTATGCACACTTGGTTTACTTGGAAAATTTTGAAACGGCTGGACAGAATTCAATCAGAAAACTAGATCTTTTCAATGTTTGTCTTGTTTAAGCAAGGACGCTTTCTATTATAGATTCAAGGGAAAACGTTCTGGTAAATAGTAAAAATAAAAATAAGTTGAAATAAAATCGAAACTTCCATTTAATATTTAATTTAATTTTCCCTCCTTATATAGCAAACGACGAGTACAGCAGGCTATAGGAGCTTGATGTTAAATTGGTTTAAAATATTGCTATGCGAATAAATTCTAGGAGTATCAATTTCATTTTATTTTTCTGCTGGCTGTATACTGTATGCTGTGACTGTTGTTACTACGCAAATTCAAACGGACCTTTTCCAGATGTAAACATTGAATGTGAATAGATTGAGAAGACCGCAAATACATGTACAAAAATCTAGATGACCTTTTCTTAAAATTGTATAAAAAATACTAAAAAAATAAACGAAAAGACAATATTTCTATATTGAATGTTCATGTGACAAGAGCAGATCAGTGTAATTGAAAATTTAGATGTGAAAAATTAGTATATTTTGGGAAATTGTAACATGCTAAGAACTTTGTGGAACACTCCAAAATTGGTGTACATGATTTTTTCTAAATTTTTTTTATCAATATGCAGCAAAGATTAACACTTTTAGATTTCAGTCTCTCAAGCTACTAATTCAATTAGCTCGATAAACACTGAACATATAACATCATGTATTTGCATGTATATTTCTAATTTTGACAAATAATTTCTTTAAAATTTACAATTGTTGTTTAGAAATAACTTTTGATCAATGTTGTCATCGGCATTGTTTTATTATTGATTATTCTCGACTCTATCGTACTATCATAAGAAGGGTGAATTTTCTATTGTTTTCGTTCACTAGAAATGCTAGATTACTTATTGCGATTGCAAATAAGGCTATCAAAATTTAGATTGCTAGTTTTTAGCTCACCTTTCCAAAGGAAATGTGAGCTTTTGCGATCTTTTGACGTCCGTCTTTTGTTTTCTGTTTTGTCAAAAAAACATGGCCGCTATGGCTAAAAATAGAACATAAGGGGTAAAATGCAATTTTTGGCTTATATCTCAAAAAACTAAAGCATTTAGAGCAAATCTGACATGGGTAAACATGTTCATTAGGTCAAGTTCTATCAGCCCTGAAATTTTCAGATGAATCTAGCAACCCATTGTTGGGTTGCTGCCACTAAATTGGTAATTTTAAGGAAATTTTGCAGTTTTTGGTTATTATCTTGAATATTATTATAGATAAAGATAAACTGTTCAGCAAAGTAAGATCTACAAATAAGTTTAATATGACCAACATTGTCAATTGACCCCTTAAAGAGTTATTGCCCTTTAAGTACAATTTTACTCTATTTGTTTATCATGTTTTCTAACTTTAAAAAATCTTCTCCTCTGAAACTACTGAACCAAATTAAACCAAACTTAAGCTGAATGACTCTTAGGTTATCTAGAGTAAAGTTTGTGTTTTATTTTCTGTTTCGTAAGAAAACATGGCCATTATGGCTAAAAATAGAACATAGGGTAAAATGCAGTTTTTGACTTATATCTAAAAAACTAAAGCATTTAGAGCAAATCAGACAAGAAGTTAAAGTATTCATTAGGTCAAGGCCTACCTGCCCTGAAATTATCAGCCAAATCGGGTATTTGATTTTTAGGTTATTGCGCCTGAATTGATGATTTTAAGGAAATTTTGCAGTTTTCGGTTATTATCTTGAATATTGTTATAAAGATAAACTGTAACAGCAAAAATGTTCAGCGAAGTAAGATCTACAAATAAGTTTATTATGACTAAAATTGTCAATTGACCCCTTAAAACAAGGAATTATTTGAATCTGGAACAATTTTGAATTCTGGAAAATTGATGAGAAATATATGATGAAAACTAACCCAACTAAATAGGGTTAGCCATGTGCGCCTGGCTAAGGGGGGTTAGTTAGTTCATACTGAAATGATAGTGAAAGTAAAATTAACCTCAGCCATGCAGGCATGGCTAACCCTATTTAGTTGGGTTAGTTTTCATCATACATTTCTAATCAATTTTCCAGAATTCAAAATTGTTCCAGATTCAAATAATTCCTTGTTTTAAGGAGTTAATTATTATCCTTTAAAGACAATTTTTCACAATTTGTTCATTAGTTTGCTTACTTTAAAAAATCTTCTCCTTTGAAACTGCTCAATCAATTTCAGCCTATCTTGGGCTGAATGAGTTTCAGAGTATCTGGTATAAATTTTGTTTTTTATTTCCTTGTACGTCAAGAAACATAGACACATATGGAACATAGGGGTAAAATGCATTTTTTTGCTTTTGAAGAAAATATGACAGATACAAAGAACATTTAAATGGCATTTTTAAGCCACTCATTAATATATATTGAAAAGCAAAAATAATCATTGATGAAAGATTTAAGCAAAAAATTACAGATGAGCCATTCAGGCTCTTGAGAGCCTCTTGTTATTTTAGCTAAACCTATCCTGTTGCAATTTTCACAATGAAAATTTTTTAAATTTCCAGTTTAAATGTCTTTATTTAGAGTGTTTGATAGCTTCAAATCTTAGCAGAAATTATTTTAATGGTATTGAATTTATGTAGTGGTTTTGATAGTATTCTATTTTTACAGGAAAGAGTGACACGCTATACTTTGAGAAACTATCCCAATGGGAACGCGACTTGTTCAAACGGAAGCCAATAATAGCCCCAGATGGTGAGTTGTCAGACAACTATATACTTAAAAATCAATGTTTGTCTTTCATTTTCAGTATTGCCATTAAAGTAATTTTATTATACCCCCACTCTACAAAATTAGAGTTTATATTGTTTTAACATGTCCATAATAATGCTATAGTTGTGCAAAATATGTAAATGTGCATGAAACGTACAAAGTTTAGGGAGATGGACATGGAATATTACAGGTTTTGCTTTTGTATTGAGGTTAAATTTTGCAGGTTTTGTTTTGTTGATTTTGTATTTAAGTGAAAATTTACAGGTTTTGTATTGTTGATTTTGTATTTAAGTTAAATTTTACAGGTTTTGTTTTGATTGAGTATATTAGTATGCCAACCAGATTGTCCATCAGGGTCAAGTTCATAGCACCTTCATTTTTCATCATATCACCTCTAAAATCAATTGTCAGGAAACAGCTGGAATAGACAGTCAGTAATATATAACTGTTTATTATTTTTTGAACATTTGTAAAGGAGCGTTTTTTTTTTAATATTTTATCAGGGTACATACCAAACTCTGCTGTAAGGAAAGAACTAGGATATGTAACTCCAGCTTCACCACTTAGAAAGAAAAAAGATACTTGGACTATAGAATCTGTTAGTATATTTTCCTTTCTAATGATAAAAATGATAATGCTTTCCCTAAAAAGCATTTATGAATGGTTGCCCCACACCATGCTTTCATTTTTACCAGCAGTCCTTCAAATAGTCCTATTTTTCAATTACTGTAAATTTAAACATTTTTGCAATAATTGTGGCAAGGTATGTTTTGCAAATATCGAAACTTGCATTTGAGATTTTGACAGCATTATATGTATAGTGATGGCCAACGTGGCTAAAATTAGAACATAGGGGTTAGAATGCAAGTTTTGTCTTTTATTTTGAAAACCGTTATATATAGATACTCATCAGATCATTACAAAGAAAAACATCAAACTAAAACACAGACAGGAAGTGGTAGGGTATATCCATCCCTCATCCCTAACAACAAAAAAGACACTAAGTACAAATCTGAGAGTACTCGCAGTTACATGTTTATATGTTTATCTTTTAAAACTCTCATTGAAAAAAAGTAATTTTAGAGCTTGAACAAATGTTACATGGAAGCTGAAATTTATTTAATGTTTATTATAATCATGGTTACTGTGCACAAGAGATGTTACTAAATATATACTAATTATTATTTTTTGTACATTTGTAAAGGAGCATTTTTTTAAAAGAAGGCATTTAGCTTTATTGTGATAAAATTGACAGATATACACCATTATTTTATCTTGCTTCATACAGATAGTTTCTCATTAAACACGCTAAACAGAAATCATGCATGAGAATAACAGAGCCTTAATGTAACAAAAATGGATTTGCTGTAAGTTGTAACTTACTTTTCTTAATTAACGTCATTAGCATTATAAAACAAATTATGTAGGTTTCACATACTGGTATGTGTGTAGTAAAAGGACTCAATAAAATTGCCACTATATATAAAAGCAACTTGCTTGATTTTGAGTAACCTAATGAAACTCTTTTGGTAGATAAAGGTACCAGCCTCGACTCAACCGGTTGCCAAGACACAAGAAGAACAGGCAAAAGAGGATCACCATTGGGAAGAGGTAATTGTCTCCACTGTTACTGTATAAATTCTATAATAATCATAGGGAAGAAGTAGTTGTCTCCCTTGTTACTGGATAAATTTTATAGGGGTAATTTCAGTAAAAAATCTCCGATTGACTTTAATGCTAATCTATGTCTTGAATTAAATTTATACCTGATTTACCTTAAGAAATTGGAAGCTTTCATATATCATTCATGAAAGTACAAATGTAGCCCTATCTTTTGCAACAATAAAAACATAGGGTCATGTGACATTTTTGGGCATTCACATGGCCTTGTTTACAAACAGTGAAGATTCACACTTAATTCCTTTACTGGCCCCCATTACTTTTCAACCCTGTAGTAAAAAAATTAGTACATTCAGCATTCATTTTTTATTTTTTTTTAACTCTAGTTTTGATCCATCTATCAAAAAATATTTATTACAAACATTATCTACCAATCAGAAGAGCACAGGACTTCAGTTTTGTACAGAAAGCTCTCCCCCAAATGGGCGGTCCCTGATGACGTATATCTATTTACTGAATTTACCCCTTTAATAATCATTGGGAAGAGGTAATTGTCTCCCTTGTTATTGGATAAATTTTATAATAATCATCGGGAAGAGGTATTTGTCTCCCATGTTACTGGATAAAATAATCATTTGGAAAAGGTAATTGTCTCCCTTGTTACTGGATAAATTTTATAATAATCATAGGGAAGAGGTAATTGTCTCCCTTGTTACTGGATACATTTTATAATAATCATTGGGAAGAGGTAATTTGTCAGGAAATACTAGTTCCTTCATAATGAAATATTATTTCCACTGGATCAAATTTGTTCCTTGTGGAATAAAGGATATAGAATATTTGTTTATAACGAAGTTTGCAGGGAAACTTCTGTTAGACGCAACACATATATGTTGTTAAATTGTCTCCCTTTGTTACTGGATCCATGTAATGATTTTCATTGGGAAGAGGTAATTGTCTCGCCATGTTACAAGTCCCCTGTTATGATTATCGACAAAAACATTTTGAGTACAATACAATATTTGTCTGATCCTATCCTACAAGTATTTACTCTTTGCTTCCATGAAATACAGTTATTCTTCTAATAATTACATGATCTGAAAAGATGGATCCTGTGTTTAAAGTAATTACAAATGGCTGATATTTTTGTTCAAGCATATTGTTTTCTTTAACTGTTTAACATTTCACAGCGATATAACATGTTACTTTAATTATTCTTCCCTTAGTTTATTTATTTTGTATTTACATTGTATCATAGATCAAATTTATTTGTTCAGTGTATGTTCACTAGTGTTATTATGTCTTTTGATTGAGTTAAGCCATTTCAATTGATATTTTATAGTGTGTCTTTCTATGTTGTGATGTTACACTATTGTTTCAGATAAGGGTGAAGGTTTGGTACCATTAAAACGTTTAAACCCGCTGCAATTGTTTGCACCTGTCCTAAGTCAGGAATCTGATGTTCAGTAGATGTCGTTTGTTGATGTTGTTAATAAATGTTCTTGTTTCTCGTTTTTTATATAGATTAGACCGTTGGTTTTCCCGTTTGAATGGTTTTACACTAGTAATTTTTGGGGCCCTTTATAGCTTGCTGTTCGGTGTGAGCCAAGGCTCCGTGTTGAAGACCCTACTTTGACCTATAATGGTTTACTTTTATAAATTTTGACTTGGATGGGGAGTTGTCTCATTGGCACTCATACCACATCTTCTTATATCTAAGCAGCTGCCTGTTAGGGCATCTAATGAATTTTACATGTTTTTGGTGAACTTTTTTTGTTGGCTTGCTGTCTCAGTGAATCTTAACACCCTCTCCCAGATCTCCTTTGTATTGACATCTGAAGAATTTTATATTCTTTTTTCTAAATTATAGAAAGTGTTGAATTTAAATAAAAGATGATTATTATTTTGTTTATGTTAGCATTTTATAAACTTATTTAGATATTAAAAGCATAAAGTAAGGTAACATGTAAAATGGTAAAAACAATATACAAAAAAATTTGTTTCCTGAAATTTCGATGATATAGGTCAAGGCCAGATATTTACAATTTTTGGATGAGTCAGAGACTGAATTAGAATCAGAACATGAAGTATCTCGTCCACCTCGATATGGGGGACGCCCTAATAATGGCAGACAACGTGGGAAAAAACAAAGCAGGGTTTACGATAGTGATGATGACCTTGAATTTGATGATAGCGAGGATATAACTGATGCTGATATTTTTGATGGTTACGATTTGGAAATTGTTCAACCGGAACCTCCCAGACAAAGATCAGGGTCAAATAAAAAGGTATTTCTTGCACAAAGCACGAAATATCAATATTATTGAAAAAATAAAAGGTTTTATACTACATTGATGTTTAGCACACACTGTTTGATAAAAAAAGTCACAAATCTTAGGTTTGGGTAGAATGGTATAAGGATTTTTTTGGTTATTTCTTGAATTTAGATGCACAGAATTTAGTGTGAAGTTTTTGCAACCTTTCACTTCTATTTTAAGAAAGGCTGTTTTTGAATATCGGGTATTGAAGCCAAAACATCTTGGGTGGAACTTTGATAAAGGGGAAGTAAAGTCACCTGTAGCAAATTGTGTTTCAGCTTATCAATAAAGATTTCAATACTGGCTCTAGGTAATATTCAATTACCTAGTTTTCAAAGTTGAAAGAATTATGCCTTGTTTTGCATAAAAAAATCCCGAATAGTAAAGTCAGCAGATGCAATGTTCAAGGTTAAATCAAATTAATGGTGATGAGAAAAACGATATTTGAATGTTTTAATTTGATTTTGGCTGCTAAATATGGGACCATACATTTTTGTTTAATGGACACTTGGACAAGTGAGCTGTCAATCTTGTCTGCATGACAACATAATTAGTGGACTTGTCCAAAGGTTTGGCACTCTTGGGGAAGCCTGTTCTAATTGAACTGACTAGTAGCAAGAAGATTAGTTCATAGTGGTGATTGAGTCATAGAAGGCATCAGGCCTTTAGTTTTCTCATTGTTAAAGTTTGTCATTTTTGCACTTTTAATAGCTTACTATGCAGTATGTGGTTTGTTCATTGTTGAAGGCCGTATGGTGACCTATAGTTGTTAATTTCTATGTCATTGACAATAATACCACATCTTCTTATTTTTACATTGTCATGACTATACAGTACACACATGCAGCACCAAGATTTAGTGTGTTTAAGCACAGTTACACTTTTAAATCCATTGAATTCACAAAATTTGTGCACAAGCAAAACTTTGAATTTAAACCCAAGCAGAGTTTTAAATGAGTGGATTATGTTTTCACTATTGTTTGCAGTGTTGATTTTATTTGCATTTGAAATATTTTTAATCTTTTGATTTTGATAATATGACTTTTGGTGTATTTTGGTCATGTAGGTTAAAAATTTAGTCCTTTAGATATTATTAGAATTAGATTTAGGACTACATACCTTGAAAATTTAGTGAAAAGATTTCTCAGTCTTCAGGATAATTCAGGTTGTCTTAGATATCTTGATGAAAGTATTAGTTAAGGTTAATTAATTTATATCAATGCAACTTAACTTTCAATACATAACATAAAAGTATTTTTAAATTTTAAGGTATTGACAATACAAGTTAAGTTAAGATATATATATAAATAATACAGGTTAAGTGCACTTGAGTTAAAATATCTTAATAATACAGGTTAAGTTCAAATATATCAATGATTCAGGTTAAGTTCAAATATATTAATGATTCAGGTTAAGTTCAAATATATTAATGATTCAGGTTAAGTTCAAATATGTTAATAATACAGACTAAGTTCAAATATATTGCCAATACCAGTTAAGTTAAAAATATATCAATGATACAGGTTAAGTTAAAATGTATTTATTATACAGGTTAAATTAAAATATATCAATAATACGGGCTTAGTTAAAATATATTAATGATACAGGTTAAGTTAAATTATTAATTAGAATATAAATAAAACAGGTTTAGTGACTTATACAGGTAAAGATAAGATTTATTTAAAATAATTCAGGTTGAGTAAAATATGAAAATATTACCAGTTAAGTTCAAGTATTTGAGTGTTAAGTCAAATATAAAAATATTACTAGTTAAGTAAAAATATATTAATAATTCAGGTTAAGATAAATATGTTAATAATACAGGTTAAGGCCAGGTATCTGAAATTCCTGGATGATAACAGTGAGGATGACAAAGTTTCCTCATCTGATGATAGTGAATTAGAGGGAGATAACAAAGACCCTCGGCAAGGTGTTGGTGGCGCTAGACCTCGTAATGTTGGCAGAGGTCGTGGCAAAAAGAAGGTCAGGCTTGTTGATAGTGATGACGACGACATTGAATTTGATGATAGCGAGCCAGTGGAAGATACAGATATCTTTCCTCCTGGTTACGAGGCCGAGATCGGTCAGGATTTTGTCGGAGGTCCATACTCTTTGTTACGTGCTGGCTCTGATTTGAAGGTATTGGAGTGTGTTTGTGTGTTTGTTGTAGTTCTAACACAAGCTGATGCTTTCACTTGTAGTCATTGTTTGTTTAGAGCTATTTTCCTAATGCTTGTAGTTTAAAGTTTTGGTTGGCTTGATAGATAGGCAGGGCTTAAACTATTGTTATTAAGATTGACATCTACAATCAATAGATAGGCGGGGCTTCAGCTTGTATACATTATACTTAAATGTTATTGGATGTTAAGAATAATGCAGAGTATAATGTATACAAGCTGAAGCCCCACCTATCTATTGATTGTAGATGTCAATCTTAATTACAATGCTTGAGCAAACATTTATAAAAGCAAAGCAAGCAAGCCAACCAAACCTTTAAACTACAAGCATTAGGAAAATAGCTCTAAAACATTTTCTTATGATGATTTGTTCGTCTAAACATTTATTGTCAAAAGTGTGTTTGTTGTAGCTTTAACACAAGCTCATGGTTGCACTTTGTATTGTTTGTTTGTATAACACATTTTCTTATAGTGGGCATTTGTTTGTCTAAAAATTATTTTCAAAATAAAATTGAGAATGGAAATGGGGAATGTGTCAAAGAGACAACGAAGTTTGTATAACACATTACCTTGTCAAAAGTTTGTATAAAACATTTACTTGTGAAAATTCTATAGCTTTTTGTCGAGCCTGCGACTTTTGTCGCAAAAGCGAGACATAGCGATCCTACATTACGTCGGCAGCGGCGTCCACAAATTATTCACTCTGTGGTTAAAGTTTTTGAAATTTTAATAACTTTCTTAAACTATACTGCATTTCAACCAAACTTGGACAGAAGCTTGTTTATGATCATAAGATAGTATCCAGAAGTAAATTTTGTAAAAAAAAAATCCTGTTTATCCGTATTTTACTCATAAATGGACTTAGTTTTTCTGCCAGTTAACATAACATTCACTCTGTGGTTAAAGTTTTTCAAATTTTAATAACTTTCTTAAACTATCCTAGATTTGTACCAAACTTGGACAGAAGCTTGTTTATAATCATAAGATAGTATCCAGAAGAAAAGTTTGTAAAAAAAAAATCCTGTTTATCTGTATTTTACTCATATATGGACTTAGTTTTTCTGCCAGTTAACATAACATTCACTCTGTGGTAAAAGTTTTTCAAATTTTAATAACTTTCTTAAACTATCCTGGATTTGTACCACACTTGGACAGAAGTTTGTTTGTGATCATAAGATAGCATTCAAAAGTAAATTTTGTTAAAAAAAAATCTTGTTTATCCGTATTTTACTTATAAATGGACTTAGTTTTTCTGCCAGTTAACATAACATTCACTCGGTGGTTAATTTAAAGCTTTCAAAATTTTAATAACTTTCTTAAACTATCCTGGATTTGTACCAAACTTGGACAGAAGCTTGTTTATGATCAAAAGCTAATATCTAGAAGGAAATTTTGTAAAAATTTATTTCTTGTTTTTCTGTATATTACTTATAAATGGACTTAGTTTTATTCCAGCTAACATTACGTACAGTCTAAGTTTTTAAAACATTTATTAGATTCATAAACCTTCTTGGATTTTTACCAAACTTGAACAGAACTTCTTACAATCAAAAGATAGTATCTAGAGGAAAATTTTTAATAATTTTTTCCCCATTTTTGTTGAGCCTGCGACTAACAGCAAAAGTAGGTGAGACACTGGGTTCCATGGAACCCTTACAAATTTTTCTTAATACCCAACAAAATTGACTAGACATTGGTCATGACATCATGTGATAAATCTTGATGACCAAGAGAGTGTGTAAAGATTAGGAAGTAGAGGATGTCTTTACCTAGAATGTGCTTCTAATTTCTTAGTCTTGTAGAGGGACGAAAGATACTAGAGACACAGTCAAACTCATAGATCGAAAACAAACTGACAACGCCATGGCCAAAAATAAAAAGACAAACAGACAAATAATAGTACAGATGACACAACATAGAAAACTAAAGACTAGGCAACACGAACCCCACCAAAAACTGGTGCTCAATACTAACATTGCATATTTTGTTCGTTTTTTGTGATGTAGAACCCTCATCCTGTTTGTTTTGACAAATTTCATTTATTTCTTACATATTCACACAAAAATTAAAACATCTTTTCACCTATTTAATAGATTTGTTAGGAGCATTTAAGACACCCCTGTAGTAAAATAGCCAATTCATGAACTTGGAATTGAAACCAAATTGTGAGTGTAAAGAAAGGAAGAAATGAATTTGGCTTATGACGCTAATTCTGGTCATATGAAAATTTATAAAAAATACCATGAAAAGACTTGAAGAAGTATATAGTGCTTACATAAACATTCCAACAATTGGATTTACAGACAACATGAAAAGCTACTGGGTCTAGCATATATACCATAAATGATCTGAGAGCTACCAATAATCTCGAGGGATGGCACAACAAACTTTAGAAAGTAGTCAAGGCACTACACCCTCATATCTACAGTCTTATCAAGTTACATAAGCATGAGTAGACATTCATGCATACACACTACTCAAGTATGCAGTAGGAGGGAAACTGCACAGACGAAATGAATTAAAAAAAAATTTGGTGAATGATTCGTAACTCGGAAGACTTCATAATGGTGACATTACGTCAGTTCAATATGCAGATACTGGTTCAATATGCAGATACTAGTTCAATATGCAGATACTGGTTCAATATGCAGATACTGGTTCAATATGCAGATACTAGTTCAATATGCAGATACTGCATCGCACTTGCATCATATAGAATAATTATTTGTAATTAGTCGCTGCTTCTTTAGTGCTTATATGATGCTTATATCAATGTGTTCTGATGTTTTACTTTTTTTAGGGAATAGACCATTACAACTTTACCTAAATTATTTTTATTTAACAAAGGTAATATAATTATTGTATTCACTCGAGAGATATAGACCCTGTATATATGTGAGAGGATGATTTACATACCACATGTATTCCAAATCTAATACTGTAATTTCAGAAATTTTATTGTGCATTAAGTACGATTGTTGTTCAAAGGAAACAAATGTGAGATTATTTATTGCAATTTCATAAAATGCTACATACAAATAATGCTATAAATATTCAAAACTTTAATGCAAGTTTTTATTTTTGCGAAATCTATCCTGACATATTTCTGCAATAAAAAAGGCATCTAAAAAATTTCTGAATGTACAGTAATCATAAACATTTTGTCTTCTCTATCTCACTGTTTTTATATGCCCGTTAACGGGACGTATGTTGGTATACCGTTGTCCGTCCGTCTGTCGTCAACTTGTCGGATAATAACTCAAAAACGCTTTAACCAATTTGCATAAAAGTTTTGTGAATTGTTTATATCTATTAACGTGAGATCCCTTTTGATTTTTACGTTTCCGAGTTATTGGGTTTTATTCATTAAAAAAGGGGGATTTTCCAGTTTTCAGACAATAACTCAAAAGTGCTTTGAGCAGTTTTCATGAAACTTTGGTGACTGGTTTATATCTATTAAAATAACCTCCCTTTAGTTTTTTTTTTTTTTATAAATTTCTGATGTGACATTGAGGAGTTATGGAACTTTATACACTGAAAAAGCGACGGGCGTATCATGTGCTCATGGCACAGCTCTTTATTTAGGTCTATAATCTATCTGGGTGTTTATATGTTGTTGAAAGTGAACATATGAAAAGGAATCCAAATTCTATCTGGACCTTTTAATGTAATATGTTATTCAAGTACTTTTAAATAAAGAAAAAAATCAATAATATACTGAATTAATAATGTGTTTTTTTTTGTTGAAAATATGCTGAAATTTTAAAGAATAGTTTACTGATATGCAATTTTATGTTTTCTGGTGTATATTCACTTAATGTTACTTCTTAGTATCTTCCTCCACTGTTAGGAGTACCTCCTTGTTCAATCTTTTTGGTTTACAATTTTTAGTTGACTGGAAGTGCTGAACTCTCATGGAAGAAAAACCAAAACAAAACTTTACAAGAGATCCAATAATTACAAATGTTATAAAGACAAAACAACTAGGGGGGTGTTTAAGTTAACGACCATGACTACCCATGAGGGTCTCGCATGGTCCGCACAAAAAAGACAAACAAATACATTTTTGTTTAAATATTTAAGGATTTCAGGCCATTAAGTTGGGGAGACGATGATGGAAGTAGATCCACTAATAGTGCTACACCATGGAGAAAGATGTCAAACTTTATGAGGGCCAGTTCTACCTTATCTAATCAGTCAACATCCTCTTCCAGACGAGGACCTAAAGGGAACAGGCGTTCAACACCCACAACTCCTAAATATGACCGTAAGTTTCTAAACTCAGATATTGAGATAGGTTTATCATATGCTAATGTCACACTTTATGCTCATGTCTCAGCTTCTTATCATGTCACGGCTTATGCTCATGTCCCAGTTTCTTCTTATGTCACAAGGTATGCTATTGTCACAGCTAATGCTTATGTCTCAGCTTATGTTCATGTCTCAGCTTGTTCTCATGCCACAGCTTATGCTCATGTCTCAGCTTGTTCTCATGTCATGGCTTATACTCATGTCTGCTTCTTCTCATGTCACAGCTTATGCTCATGTCTCAGCTTATGCTCATGTCTCAGCTTGTTCTCATGCCACAGCTTATGCTCATGTCTCAGCTTGTTCTCATGTCATGGCTTATACTCATGTCTCAGCTTGTTCTCATGTCACATCTTATGCTATTGTAACAGCTTATACTCATGTCTCAGCTACTTCTCATGTCACAGCTTATGCTCATGTGACAGCATATACTAGGGCTTTCATTTCATACTTTGATTGCTTTGATAAAGGGTTGCTGCTTACAAGAAAGCTATTGAACCAACTGTTCCTAGTAGTAAAGTTGAAGTCAACCCTTTGAAAGTTTTATAGACACCATCATGAGGTGGGCCTTTATAAAAAGTTAAATAACATAGATACTGAACTCCCAAGGAAAATTCAAAACGGAAAGTCCTTAATCAAATGGCAAAACCAAAAGATCAAACACATCAAACAAATAGAAAACAACTGTCATATTCCTGACTTAGTACAGGCATTTCCTTATGTAGAAATTGGTGAATTAAACCTGGTTTTATAGCTAGCTATACCTCTCACTTGTATGATAGTCTCATAAAATTCCATTATATTGACAACAATGTGTGAACAAAACAAACAGACATAAAAGGTAAAAATGTCAAAATGGCATATAGACAAAGCACATAAGCAAAAATGAAAGACAAGAATACAAAAAAGTATCTGTTACAGATAACAAGGGATATGTTCCAACTCGGCAACTGTCATAAAGACAATCCCATCCGCTTTTGTTCAAATCTGACATCTATGAATGAGACTCATCCACCAAATATGTACTTACCATACATGAGCAACATATTCAGTGTAACCTGTGGAGCAGTTTCTTCCTACCCTTCCAGAGCACCTGAGATCACCTCCATTTTTTAATGTAGCTCAATCTGATTTTCTATTAAGTGTCTTCTCGTCGTCTCTCTTTTTATGCCCCACCTAGGGGCATTATGTTTTTCGGTCTGTGTGTCCATTCATTCATCCGTCCCGCTTCAGGTTAAAGTTTTTGGTCAAGGTAGTTTTTGATGAAGTTGAAGTCCAATCAACTTGAAACTTAGTACACATATTCCCTATGATATGATCTTTCTAATTTTAATGCCAAATTAATTAGAGTTTTGACCCCAATTTCACGGTCCACTGAACATAGAAAATGATAGTGCGAGTGGGTCATCCATGTACTATGGACACATTCTTGTTATGCTCATGTAACAGCTTATGCTCATTTTATAGCTTTGGTTTATGTCATATTGTATGCTCATGTCACCTTTTATGCTGAAGTCATATCATATGCTCATGTAACTACTTGTGCTCGTGTTATAGCTTTGGCTAATGTCATATTGTACAGACCTTCTAAAATTCAAACTGACCACTCGCCTGATACACGCACCCACGATACATGCACGGTGAATACACGATACACACAAGATGAGCGATGAGCGTTACACAGAGGATTAACGAAAAATGAATGATGAATGATGCACGCACAATACAGGCACGATGCACGATGAATGATCAACACACGATACACGCACGATGAATGATGAATGATACACGCACGGTGAATGATTCATTGACGATGAACGATAAGCTCTTAATACACGGTTCACAAAGCCATTTTATTTGGAATTGCATTTAAAATTGATGTATGATAATGAAAATATATAAGGGTATACACATTTTAGATATCTCGCTTTCTGTGTTGATTGGTCGACAGTTTTACTAAACATTCCATGTTTTAAATAAATTGATTGTAGTATAGTATTTCCAATATCAATGAGTGTTGTCAAATTATAAAACTCATTGATTTTTATAATTCTACTTAATATAAATAAGATAAAAAATATTTATAAATTGCTACATTTTAAAGAGTGGCGATTCCAGCCATTTTTAAAAAGAGGGTTCTCAACCCTAGATAAAAGGGATGGATTTAACCTTATGTCCCCATTCAAATGCATTGATTGGAAAAAAAAACTTCTAAACACTGCTAAGGACTTATAATATGCCACTAAAGACTAGAAAGGAGGTGTTACTTGTACTCTGTTTTCATATTATGGTAGAGATAGATAGATTTTTAATACATAAATTCCTAATTTTTATAGAAAAAGAACCACCAATAAATGAGTAGTTGAACAATATTTGGAACGTGCCGGTTTTTCCTTGATATTGCCGAAAATCAGTGATCTCAGGGTTTTACCTGAAACACTTTGGGAAAATGCAATTTTTAATTCCAATTTTAAACCAAACGGTAAGAGATATCCAAAGGTTTTTTAAAATGCATGTCTAATTTGATAAGGAGATTTGAAAAAACGATCTCAATGGTAGTTGAAATTATTCAGTGCAATCATTTTGTGTCCGTCGTTGTCTTTCATACATATCAATTGGTGTATCCACTGTTTGCTGTTCGTTATCTGTTGTTTATTGCAGTCAGGCCTCGCGATCGGTCTCCAATTTAAGCCCCACTTAGGTTAATTAATTATCATTTATAGGGGGAGGGGCTATTTTTCTCGAAACAAACATTATTTTCCTTCCTTAAAAACAACTTAACAATTTTCTTTATTTTTTCATTTAATCATAAACCGATGAATATTTAATGATTTTATAAAAATTAAAAAAATATTTTTATGGTAAATGTATCTAAATGTCTGGGTTATTTTCTTATCCAAATAATTAATTTTTTCCTTTTTTTAAGGTAAAAGTGTTGTCAGTTATGTAATTTGACACATGTCTTATGGTTCAGTGATTTTTCGGAAAAATCAAAGAAAACCGGCACATGCATTGTTCAATTATCATTTGTAATTTTTTTATTGATTAAATTTGAATTTATGCATTAAATATCAATCTCTATCTTGATAAGAAATTTGTTTACATGGTATAGCACCCCTTTTAGTCCTTAGTAGCATATTATAAGTCATTAGTGCACTAAGGAGTTTTTAGCCGTGTTTAGACGCACCCTTTTCTGCTCTTTGGCCGGATTGTTGTCTCTAGCTTTGACACATTCTCCATTTCAATCCTCCATTTTATTCAATTAGTTGTGATTCTCTTTATCTCTCTGTTTGATGTTTTTGCAGACAAAAACAATTCGCAGAATTAATCTAAATAAGCAGACATTAAACTCTTTCTTCTAAAACTTCTAGCATTAAAACCTTATTGCATGAAATTGAATTAGTATGTTAATATCAGTCTTATCACATTTCGGATGACCTTAATAATAGTTACCTATATAATGATTTTTGCAGAAATTTACATAATATTGAAGAATTCGTTCATTTTATCGACACATTTAAAATTGCTGCCGTAAAATGTTACCCCCTCTTTTTAGAAATGACATTTGGCTTGATACTGTATGAAGATTATTCGTTCCAACTTTTATGAAGAAATTACCGACTTTTTTTAACTAGATAAATATACAACAAAAATACCATTTTTTCTTCTTAAATCAATTTCTTTTAACAAAAATTAATTATTAACAAAGATTTGTTACACAAATGTAGAGCCCAATTTTGTAACGAAGATATTCCTAATCTCTTTACCCAAATCCTCATATCTTTATCTTTTGAAACAAAAAAGTTGAGGATGTCTGTTCAAAGGACAGAAGTGTCCAAGAAACCAAAATGTTAAGTGAATGTCCAATAATTCAAACCCATTTGTCTTTTAAATTTAGCACATGAAGATATAATTTTTATTACATATACAAATTGATTTTGTAAAAATTAGCTTGTATGTGAACTTTTGTAAAAAAATCACTGTGGGTCTAAAACTGTATCTCATGCCCATAATTGTCCTAAAGCTAAATGTCATTGTCAGATTATGAGGGTCTGAATGGGGATTCATTATTTCTGTATTCTGTCATTTTAAGCATTTTTTTCTATTCGTTATACCTTTTGCCGATCATTCTTTATTCCTTATATTCTAGGACCTCCATCATTTTCTTTTCTATATATTTGTCTAGTTATTTTCTGTATTCTTTATTTTTTTGTTAATAATTTTCTATTCTATAAACTCCCATCCACACCCTCATGTTTAATGGAAGACAATAAACATTTTAGTATACATACCAACCGTTGTCACTTTCACCTGACATACAAATCGCATATTTTTATTTCTCACCTGGACACAGGACTAATCTAATATACATATTACGTAATGATAACGGATATAGTAAATTCAGTAGAATATAACCTGTATCAACGCACTGGCTTGTTAAATGAATTTTGATCTGACAACTGTATCATACTTTTTTAGTTATTTTAAAATTGAGAATGGAAATGGGGAATATGTCAAAGAGACAACAACCCGAAAAGAGCAGATGACAGGCAAAGGCCACCAGTTATATTTGATAATGTTTTAGTTTCGAATAAGGCAAAAACCATTATATTTTCAGAAAATCTCTAAACGGATAATGAGAGTTTAGCGCCCTTGACTGGCTATACAACCCAAGCACGGTCGGTCTCTAAATGTTGCCGAATTTGAGAGCCTATATCAAGAGATAGGCTTTACCTATCTTAAGGTGTTTCAAAAAATATCCATTTAAGAACCAAATTGTGGCTTCTTTATATTTATACCAAAATTGAGTTCAAGGCAGTATTTTGTCAAAGAGAACAATTACCCAAAGTGCAACATGCGAGAAGATGTTTCATTTCCATTATTTCTTTTTATTGAAGTGACTTATCTTTTGAGGTTACGTCACGGAAATATATTTTAAATTAAAAGGTGCAGCTTGAT